GTTGAGTTTATAGCCAATAAGTCTTGCTCTTTGCTTCCTTTCGCAGCTTGACACATAAAAGACTATATTTCTCAACAAACACGAGCTGAGATTCGGGTTGTGGGTCCTGGCGGCCGCTGGACGAAAAGCAAGGGTTTCCAACAAACGGGCAGGGCAGGGCAGGGCTGGGCAGGGAGGGCAGGGAGGGCAGGGAGGGCAGGGCATCTGGGCAGTTTAGGGTTTAGGGTTTAGCTCCGGCCGTGTAAGGCTCTACTGCTTTAGGGGTTTTGGGAGTTGACTTTAGGATCTTCTGGGGCTTTCAGAGTCCCCTTTTTAAGGCAACCTTTCAAACGTTCTATGGTTTCGGGCTAAGGCTCCAGGGTTTGGGGTTGGCGCTTTTTTCTTTTGAGTCTGATGTGGCTCTTCAGTAGGTTTCAGAGGAGTCTTCTTGGGATTCATGGTGTGTTTACTGCTTCTGTTGAATACTGTTCTTTTCAATGTGATGATCCTGGGCTGGCCAAGTCTGCCTGAACAAGCGCACACACACACACACACACTAGGTGAGACTGACACCCTTCATCTTCTCCACCACCAATCCAGGATCATTGGCTTTTAGGCTGTAAGGTTTAGGTTCTCGGCTCTAGGGTTTCATCCCTTTCAAAAACAGTCTAGAGCAAAGTGCTCAGGGTTAAGGAGGTTTCGGGTTTCGTTTGGGGTCTCGGACGGTTCTACCAGGGTGCTTTAGGGATTCGATTCCAAAAGCCAACAGGTGCCCCTGAACGCCAAACCATACATTAACCCTCACGGTAAACCCTAAGCCCTCATCCCTATGACCCTTATAGAACCCTTATAGGAACCTTCGCTGGCCCCCCAAAAAACCCTAAAGCCTAAATCCCATTAATATAGGAGCAGGGTCTTGGAGCCCATAATACTATAACTATCAGAAGGAACCCCAGACCAGTATAAGTAATTGTTAAGGCCCCTATAGTTGAGAGCTCCAGTAGCAGCCCAAGAGCTTGTTCTTGAAGTCGATGGGCACATACAGAAAATCGTAGCGGCCACGGAACTCCTTCGCAGAGGGTACCCACTGAGAGGTTTCAGGATTTGGGGGTCCTCGGCTTTTCGGACTCAGGGTTTCAACCTTAAACCTTCGACCCTAAACCCCAAACCCTAAATAAAGGGGTTCCCTAAGAGAATACCCTAAACCTAAACCCTAAACCCCAAAGCTTGGGGCCTATGGCTCGAGGTTTAGATTTCTTGGACCCTGAGCTTAGGGGGCACCGGAGCGGAGACAGCTATTTTAGGGTTTAAGGGCTTTCAACGGCGATCTACAGGGGCTCCTTTGAGGGATGTATCTTTCACAATTAGGTTCCTTGAAAGGTTTAGGGCCTCAGGCGGTGTAGGGCTTTAAGCTTTAAGCCTTCGGGGTTTAGGGTTTAGGTTTAGACCCTAAACCCTAAACGGTGCTTTTAAGCTTTAGTGTTGCAAGGTTTATTAAGGGCCTAAACTCTAAACCGTGGTTTCAGGCTTTAAGGTTTGAGGGATAGGCGGCTTTCGGGGATCAGGGCTTGGGGACGTATGCAGGAATGCGCCGGCCCAAGCATGCTTCCTTGTACAGCTTTTCCTTACAAAGTTATCCTAAACTACCCTAAACCTTCAACCCTCAAACCAAACCCGGGGCCCAAAAACCTACCTCAGAAGGAATTACATCAGAAACCATAATAAGGAACCCTTTGAAGGTAGGCTTTTCGGCTACAGGCAAAGCCTTCAACCCAAAAATTTTAGAAAACCCTAAATCCTACACCCTAAACCCTAAAATCTAAACCTTAAACCCTCAACCCTAAGGCCCCAGACGCAAAGATCCCCTAGCCAAAACAGTTCGAGGGCGCGGACGCCCTTCTCAAAGTGAGGGAGGGGTTTTGTAAGGTTGATGCAATTACGAGGAGCATCACGGGACTTATTAAGTAGGATTTAAGTAAGATAACTATTAGTCATTTCTACTTCTGATCCAGTTCGGGAACTTATGGCAATACTGCTCTTATTTACTAGGCCCCATGATCCTCCAAATAGGTTCCCCAATGTCCCCTTGATAACACGGGTATCATTTTTTCGTGATTGAGTTTTAAGTAGGGGGGAGCCCTACACGAAAAAAATGTAAAAAGACACTACTGGGGCACCTCGGCAACAGTTGAGGGACCGTTGAAAAATCTCGGTCGGTTTACGAAGGTCTCTAAGGATTTTGGAAGGTCTGGACAGAAGCCCGGCAATCTCACGCCAGCCACACGCCCCTCTCGGAAGTCATCTTCTTGGCTTTGGCTTTGGATTTCAGAGCCACGGTTTAGGGTTTAGGGTTTAGTGTGGAGCATTACAACCCACGAGAGTAGCCCCTCTGCTGACGAAGCTGAACTACAGTCCGGCGGAATGTCTTGTGAAGTCGCCAAAATGCCCGTGCGGCATCCCCGGTGCCATATACAGGCTTTCGAGCGCATCTGCAGGAACTCAAGGTAGACCCGCTTTGGTTGGGACAACAGGAGAGTCCTCGTCATGAGCTCCCCTTGGACAAAGCAGGCACAAAAGTCTCCTCCTCAAAGGACATCGCTTGCAGCTCGCCATCGAGATACGAACTAAACCCGAAGCACTCGACACCCTGAACCCCAAACCCTGAACCCTAAACCCTAAACCCTAAACTCTAAACCCTAAACCCATAACCCTGAACCCTGATCCCGAAACCTCTTAAACCCTACCCAAACGCCTAAAACCCTAAAACCCAAGCTCCGAGTCCTATATACTTAAAAAGGTCATGGGACTTAGTAAGTAAGGGTCCCTTAAAGGGATCAATGGGGTCCTTAAAAGGGGATCTACAGGGTTTAGGGTTTAGGGTCTACTTGCAGGATTCTGGGACTTAGTAAGTAAGGTTATAAGTGCCTTGATTGGGGTTATAAGTACTTATAAGTATAGTTACCTTGTTTACAACCCCGCTTACAAGTCCCATGACCCTTTAATTAGGAAGTTAATAACTCTGAGGATAGTTACCTTATTTATAACCACTTACTAAATCCCGTGATCCTTTAAGTGCCCGGAGTCCTGATTGAACCGGTCGACCAGCATCTCGCGGGTGTACCTGGGCGCGGACACCACCACCGTGAGAGATCCGAGATCGTCGTAATGTAGTGGCTAACTATAAAATTCGAGCTTGGGGTGAAATAGCGGGCCTTCATGAGTATGGGCTTTAGGCCTAGGGTGTTTTAGGGTTGGGCGTGCAGTGTCTGGCCAGCCGTCATGTGGGTGGCTGTCAAAATTATGGTCCCTTTTGGGTCCCTATAATACAGCACCTATCATTTGGGGTACCCAACAAAGGGCCATGATTTTGACAACTACCCATGTGAATGAAACCGGGTCACGGATACTGCAGGAGACTTACAATAGACCCTTGACCAATCAACCCTCTCTCTCTAAAGGCCCCGGTATGAGGTTTAGGGTTTAGGGTATTCTCTTAGGGATCCCCAAAAGCACATAAGCATGAGCAGTTTATGGGGATATCCATCCTTATTGGGCTTCATTGTACGGGGGTTTATATGGGATATCCCTATGTGCTTTTTTGGGGCCCTATCTCTGAAAAAGACCCCGGTATGAGTATCCCTGTTGCAGTACTTATTAACAGAGAGACAGGGTCTACCTTCATCATTGAACTACAGTTTCGGGTTACATTAACAAGGGCGATAAGAGAATACTAGTAGGAATTGCTCTGACCCTACTATTGCAAGAGCCTGAACTAGTGATCCTAATCTGCCGTGCTTTAGAAAACAAAAAGTTCTCAAAACCTTAACCTCATTGTTTGCCTCTACCACACTAAGCCCCAAACTCCACGACCCTAAAATCTGAATCAAGAACACCAAGCGCTGAAGCCTGAACTGCTTGAGGAGGAGTTTTCAGCACTTACTGAGTGGACTAGGGCTTCGGTACCTGAGGCGCTTGCAGGATTGAACGTTAGGATGCAGGGTTTAGGGCTTTGGGTGTGTTCTAAGTTGGGGCGTGTACAGTTCGGGGTTTCGGTCCCATGACGCCCTGAAGCACCATAACCTGAACCGTGAAGCGCTAAAGCCCTGCCCTACACCTCAAAACCCCAAACAACCCTAAACCCTAAACCTAACCCTAAAAGGCTAGCCCTGAAGTCCCAACCTCTTAAACCTAGACATCGAGTCCGGCAACTTGTTGGGAATGTTCCGCAGCATGAACGTAGTGGCACCACCTGGGCAGCTCTTAACGCAAAACCTCAAACCATGCAAACTCACACCTAAATCTCAAACCAGAAAGGGCATAAACCTTAAACAACACCCAAGCCCTAAACCCCAAAACTATCTGACTACAAAGTCCCTTGACTTCGTAAACACGAAACACAACTGACCCTGTTGCAAGCACTTGAACAAGGCTTAGGCCCACACCCTAAACTCGAAATCTTAGAGCCTAAAGCTCCTAAACTCGAAGAATCCTAAAACCAGCCTTTCATACCACTCCACGCTGACCATTTTTGGCGTCTCGGTCGTGCCGCGACCCTGCTAGCTATTTACAGCTGGAGCCGATTTGGCCTGGTCTGGCGTTCCGCCTTCCAGCGACCCTGCCACCTGTATCATGTGCGGCCGGAGCACCTTTGTCCGGCAAATCCTCTTCGAATGTAAGGGCCTTAAGAATTAGACTAGGTTTTGAGGGTTCCTTTTAGTTATCGTATAATATACCTCCAAACCCTATTCCGGATCAAGGCCCCTACATTAGAGGTTAAAAATTAAAAGTGTGAAACGGTCCGCAGGTAGTATACTACTCAATGAGACCTACAGGGCCCAGCATGTACTGCTAAACTCTAAACCCTCGAAAGCCCGAGATTTTCTCAGGCTGATGTTAATTCGAACAAACCAGACCTTCCAACATCCTTTAATTAAGGAATATACCTTAGTCCATATGAGGGATCCTATTATAATTTAAGGTATAATCTGTTAATTGAGGGATTTTGGAAGGTCTGGGAAGATCTACAGCAGAGACGGATCAGCGATGCAGCCAGGAGGTTCCTGAGGCTTCTGCTTCTTTTTTTTGGTATAACATAGGGACCCTAAACCCTAAACCCTAACTAGTTATCGATACTATGAACCCCTAATTACTTACTAAGTCCCATGATCCTCCAAGTAGGCCCAAGGCCCAAGACGCGAAGAACCTTGAGACTCTGAACTCATAGACCTCCCAAAACCACCTTTACCGTACATGATGCTTATGAGGAACCCTTTCAGGATCCTTTAGGAGTCCCTTTAGGGTCTAACTCTAACTATAAGAAGGAGCCCTAAGGATCCTTTAGGAACCCCTTTAGGGTCTAACTCTAACTCTAAGAAGAAGCCCCCAAAACGGTACTGGTAGAGTCAGCTTGTAAGGATCCCTTCAGACCCTGCCGAAAGCCACCGGAGCTCTGCAACTGCCACGGCCACGTAGGTTTTGGCCTCCGGAGCCTTGTCAGAAACTCTCGCGCATTCAGGGTTTAATGATTTAGGGCCGAGGGTTGAGGAGAGGGTGCAAGAGGTTGAGGGCTTAGGGTCTAGTAGACGGTAAAAGGGTTTAGGGCTTAGGGCTTCGGACAAGGCAAAAGGGTTTACTGGTTAGGGGTCTAGGAGAGGGTAAAAGGTTTTGGGGCTAGGTTTAAGGGGAAGCCTTCCTAACGTGTAACTCATGGTTCCTGGCTTCAATCTACGGTGAACCCCATAAAGTAAGGCCAAATAGTGCTGGGATTCCCTGTATTTTACTCTTAAGGATTGAGACTATTGGATTTCCAACTTTTGGGCTTCTACTGTAGGGCTTGAGCACAAACTTGATGATTCTTGAAAAGGTTGCCCTCTTGCAAAACAAAGCCCCGAAGGTGCTAAATCCCGTTCCTGGCGGCACAAAACTGTGTTCCGGGCTTATGGCTTATGGTCTTGCGGGTTCGTCTTCCCCTGCTCAACAATGCGCTAGGACCCGCCCAAGAAAGCTCAGGAGTCGTTGGCTGCGATTCTGGATGAAGGGCAAAGGCTTCGACATAGGACGAAAGGAATGGACAAATCCGACTCACCGATTCTTCCTGTAATCTTCAAGACGCATCATATATCAGGCAACCGACTCCCTAGCAGACTGTTCCGCGAAAAAAACCGTTCCCTTCCCAATCACCGTAGCCTGAGGAGCATCCGCCGCGTGGCCATCACTGCCAGCAGCATGACCGACCCTCTGTCCTGAGGCACTAGACGGGCAGCTAGGTGCACTATCCGTTTTCCTCACTCTGCACTGCAACCTCAAAATAAAAGTCAAACCCTAAACCCCCAACTAGGGCCCCAAAACAGCACATGAGCAAAGATAAGGATAGGGATATCCCATAAACCCCATTATAATGAAGCCCAATAAGGTAGGGATATCCCGAAAAAATACTTATGCTAGTGTGCTTTTTGGGTCCCCCTTCGGCCGGGGTTCTCGGAGGCAAAGAGTGCACCATTTGCAATCAAGAAAAGTACATCATCTCTCTACCGATGCTCCAGTTACTCTGGTCCAAGGGTAAAAGGAGGGACCCTTAATAGGGACTCCTAGGTATATACCCTTAATACAGTTAGTATATACCCATTATATAGCCCATTATAAGGTAGGGGTCCCCATTAAAGGTCCCTCCTTTTCCCCTTTGATCTAGTTGTGTATCTAGTCTCTCGATCTGCCTCTACGAACACATCTTTCGACTCCCCAAGACGGCTAAAGCCGAAACCTTGAAGTGCGAAAACCCTGAAGCCCTTAGCCCTGAGACGCGAAAGCTTCCAAAAAGCCCTAAAACCCGAAGACCCTGAAACCCTCAAGCCCCGAAGCCCTTTAAGGTTTGGGATGTTTGGGTTTAGGGTTTAAGGGTTTAGGGTTTAGGATTTAGGGTTTAGGATCTAAGGGTTTAGGGTCTAGGGGTTTAGGGTCTAGGCCCGGAGAGCCTGAAGCCCTAAACCCCCCCCAAACCCTAAACCCTAAACCCTAAACCCTAAACCCAAAAAAAAAAAAAACCTCAAACCCCAAGTCCCTAGCAGACCCTGGGTCCCTTCTTCTTACCTTTGGTTAGTAGGACATGGAAGGGGCCTTATAAAGGGGTCGATAAGGGTTACTATAAGGGATCTATAAAGGTACTATAATATAGGGGGCCTTAGTAATCCTATAACTTACACTTGGTTAGTAGGGAATGGAAGAATGGTAGTAATAGTAGTTATAATTGTACCCCATTCCTCCATTCCCTACTAACCAAAGGTAAGCTTCTCGAACCCTTATGAAACCCTTGTAGGAACCGTTGCAGAAAACTTTTTCAAGGACTCTTTTCAAAAAAACCCTAAACTCTAGCACCTTTACAGAACTCGTTCAAAGAACTCTCTTCGAACCTTCGGCCGCCCTAAACCCTAAACTCTAATCCCTAAACCCTAAACCCTAATCCCTATACCCTAAAGCCTAATCCCTAAACCCTAAACCCTAAACACTAATCCCCACACACTGGACATTAAACCCCAAGCATCAAACCCCAAACCATTGCATGCAAATCGCCCCCGATCTTCAGCGTCACTACCTCCATCAGGCGAACTTTAGGGCACCAAATAACCACATAAGTTAGGGTTGAGGGTTCCCAGAGAGCCCAATATCCCTTAATTAAGGAATATGGCTTAACTTATATAGGGCTTCATATTACGATTTAAGCGATATTCCTTAATTTAGGGGTATTAGGCTCTCTAGGTTTAGGATTTAGGACTTGGTGTTGATCGGGATCTCCCACATAAACCCTTATAATGAAGCCCCAAAAAAGTAGGACATCCTTGTAAAAATGCTTAAGCTTATGTCCTTCTTGGGGCCCCTAAGCTTAGGGTATGGAAGGGATCTATGAGGGTTTAAGATTTAGGGCGTAGGGTTTCGTGTTTAGGGAATGGTTTGGGGCTTTGGGCTTGGAGCTTAGGGTTTTGGGTCTTCGGGGTTTACGGCTTGGGGCTTAGGGTCTACATACTGCTTTGGGCTTTCGGCTAAGAGCTTCGGGCTTCTGGCCAAGAGTGTAGGATCTTGGTTTGCGGTTTAGGGCCAGTTTAGGGTATAGTTCGGGTTTCCCGGTTCGGGGTCGAGCTTCTTCATGCTCACATACTGTATGAGATGAAGGCTAGGGACCTCAACATGGTACCCCAAAATGTAGGATCCTTCATGCATGGCGCGGAACCAAAATGCAGACCTACGATTGCAAAACCCCCTAAACCCCAGACCCTGAACCCTAAACCCTGGACCCTAAACCCCCCTTTTAGGCTTTAGCTATTCATTGCAGGGTTTTAGTTTTCGGGCAGCGGCGGATGGAGAGCGAAAGGTCGAGAGGTGTAGAGAGGGGTTGAATATAGGGGCCTCAATAAAACAAACAGAGTCTTGAGTACATATTTTAGTATACTTATGGTGGGGAAGGAGTAGTATGAACAGCTAGTCTGGCTTCTAAATTAGGGTTAGGGGTTCGGGCCCAAACCCGAACTCAAATATACCGGCCTGAATGATGCGGAAGTCACGGCTAACCTTTGGAATTATTATAGAGGGGCTCTACTACCCCCAAAAAGTTTAAGGTGCCCTACTCTATAGCCCTTTGAACCTTGAACCTTGAACCCTAAACCTTACAAGCCGCCCCCACCCTGTAATAGTGGTATAATAGGAATATAGTAGGGCCCTAATATAATCCTATATAATCCTTATAGTCACTATTACAGGGTGGGGGCAGCTTCCAACCTAAACCTCACATCCGATCGGGCTAAAGAGCCCCAACAAAGCTAAAGACACCTTACTCTGCCCTACTCTACTACGGTTCATGATATAAAACCTGCATTACCTTAAGGACCCTAATCTGTGGGAATCATGGTATACTCCTCTTTGTGGGTAATGCAGAATGTATATCATCAACTGTACGAAGGTAATACAGGGCGCCTAAATCATTACCAATACCCTTGCGGGGTTCCTTATCATGATTGTACTATAATGGGCCCCAATACCCTATTCTTATTAGTGAGGCCCCTACTCTAAACCCTTAATAGCCCTTCTAGTAACCCTTATAAACCCCTTTAAAAGAAACCATAAGTATTAAGGCCCCTACCGGTAGCTCGAAAGGCCTCTATATTATCCGAGCGTATAAGGGACATCCCATATAAACCCCCTTATAAGGAAGGCCAATAGGGTCGGGATATCCCCTTTTGCAAAATGCTTGTGCTTGTGTGCTTTTGGGTCCCGAAACCCTACTTGGAGGCCCCTTTGACTTAGTAAGTAGGGTTAGTAAGGTGGGTTATGGGGATTATAATGGGGTTTCTAGGGGATACTAAGTAGACTTACTAAGTCAAAAGGGCCCCCAAGTATAAACCCTAAACCCTAAACCCCTAAACCCTAAACCCCCAACCCCTAAACCCTATAAACCCTAAACCCCTAAACCCTAAACCCTAAACCCTATAAACCCTAAACCCTAAACCCCTAAACCCTAAACCCCAACCCCTAAACCCCAAAAGCCCTCAGCTCCTTTTTGGGTGCCTGATCTCAGAGCCTTCTGTACTTGGAGGGTCGGGGGAAATAGTAAGGGCTCCTTTAAAGGGATCCTAAGGGTTCCTTTAAAGGGCTCTATAGGGGTACTATAGGGTTTAGGGTTTAGGGTTCAGGGAATAGTAAGTAGGTAGTAAGTAGACTTATAAGTACCCTAAAATAAGGGACCCTAGTTGGGGTGATGGTACTTATAAGTCCCTAAAATAACCAGTTACTAAGTCCCCCGACCCTCCAAGTAGGGCCCTAAACCCTAAACCCTAAACCCTAAAAAAAAAAAAACGGTGGTTATTTTGGGGAGCCTGCTCGGGGTTCGCAGCCTCCAAGGCAGCAACCCCAGACTCGCCGATCCGGTTCCCACCTTGCAGTTTAGGGTTTAGAGTTTAGGGTTTAGAGTATAGGGTTCAGGGTTGAGGGTTTAGGGTTTAGAGTTTAGGGTTCAGGGTTGAGGGTTTAGGGCTTAGAGTTTTGGATTTAGGGTTGAGGGTTTAGGGTTTAGGGCGTCTTCTTGCGCAGCGGCTAATCCATGCTAGGATGACGCCACCTCACACCAGGGTTTGTGGGTGGCGGCATACTACGCGTCAAGCGACCTTCCTTGCAAGTGTTATAGAACTCATCGAAACCGGAAGTTCTCTCAAACCCGCCCGCTGCGATGATACCACCCTAAACCCTAAACCTTAAACCCTAGACCCTAAACCCTAGACCCTAGACCCTAAACCCTAAACCCCAAACCCTAAACCCTAGACCCTAAATCCTAAATCCTAAATCCTGAACCCTAAACCCTAAACCCAAAACCCTAGCAGGGGGAGCGAAATCGGGTGCGGCTGGGGGGGCCAGGGTCAGGGCGGCCCTGGCGCATTGCAAAATTCTTGGAGGATCATGGTACTTAGTAAGTCAGGGTTCCTTAACAGGGCTCCTTAAACGGATCTATAGGACTCCTTCAAGGGATCTATAGGTTTTAGGGTTTAGGGTCTACTGGGAGGATCATGGGATTTAGTAAGTAAGGTGACAAATAGGGTAACTCTACTTATAACTACTATTTGCTTAAGAACCCCAAAAAAATAAAAAATACATTCCTTATGGGGGGGTAATATAGGGATTATTATTTTCATTTTTTGGTGGTTTCTTAAGCAAATAGTAGATAACTACTTATAACCGCAATTAAGGTGCTTATAACCCCAATTAAGGTACTTATAACTTATAACCTTACTTACCAAGTCCTACAGGAGAAGCCGGAAAGTTGGAATATGATTGTCATAATCCCTTTGAGGTAAATTATAGGGGATCCTGCCATTATTCCATATTCCAACTTTCTGGAGTTCCCTTTAAGATCCTCAAAGTGCGGTTATCCCAGGACCGGCCCCGCACCGGGCCAGCTTGGGGGGCCTCGGGACCCTCGGTGGGGGTTGGGGTTTAGGGCCTATAGGGTTTAGAATCTAGGGTTTGGGGTTTCAGGGTCTACCTGGACCCTAAGGAACCTGCCTTTTTAGGGTTCCCTAATATGATTTCTTTGTACAAGTCCTTAAAAAAGTAGGTTACGTGGGGTTCAGGTAGGGTTTAGGGTTTATAGGGTTTAGGGTGGTGGAAAAATGTAAGAATGGGGGCTCAAAGCCCCATGAAGGCGAAAATCAAGCTGCGTCCAGCACCAGTGTCTGGGCACCCAGCTATGGGTGGGAACGGGTCCAGGGGCAGGGTGGGAATTTAGAGTTTAGGGTTTTGGGTTTAGAGTTTAGAGTTTAGGGTTTAGGGCTTAGAGTGTAGGGTTTAAGGTCCAACAAGGCAAGGAAATAAAAGATTGAACTTCCAGATTACTACTAAAGTGTAAGAACCCAAAAAATGTAAAGGTTGAATATTGGAGAACTGAGCCACTGAGGTCCATCAGGAACGGCTCAGACCTCTCAGAAACATGCAGGGTTTAAGGAAAAGGGTGTGGACTTTAGGGTTTAGGGTACACTTCTTGTTTTGGCATGTGAGGTGTAGGGTTCAGGATTCAGGGCCTCAGGTATTATGCCTCGTCGAGGACGTTTTCGACCTTTAGGTACCAGTTTTCTGAAGTGTCGAGTGTCTCATGCTAGCAACGATGCCCTTTTCCCTCTATTGGATATAATAATAAGGGGCCCTGAAGCAAAAGGGCAAAAGAGGAACACTGACCACTGAGAAACCTAGTGTTGCAATGTAGCTGCGTACCCCGCAACCCTTTACAGAAAGGAGATTCAAAGGAACCTGAATTTGGAGAATTACCCATGCTAACGGTGTGTTGTCACGTATGGAAATCGTTCCCTGATCAGAACAGACGCTGAACCCTAAACCCCTAAACCCTAAACCCCTGAACCCTAAACCCTAAACAAAACGGCCCAGCTGCCGCTCTGGTGGCGGTGACGTAAGCCACCGCATCCACGTAGGCTTTCGTTTCGCTTTCGTAGTCCTGCCGATGATTTCGGAGCGTTTCGAGGCAGTGACCAGCTGCTTGCAAGACAAGGCTTCAGTCTCGGAAGCCCTGGTAAGAAAAATTCAGTCTCGGAAGCCCTGGTAAGAAAAAACCGGGGATGAACTATGCATCAGCCCCGCACAGCTCCGCTCCAAGCCACGAGCCCCAAGCTTGAAGCTCAGAAGCGCTCAAAACGGCAATTCGAGTTCGATGCAAGGAAAAGACAAGGGACAGTGGAATCTTCCTTCTTCTTCGGGGTGCTGCTAACATAGCTCATTTGACATCCCCTTGGTGCCACAGTTCTAGGACTTTGTGCGTGCATGCACTCGTGTACAGGAGGAAGGTCATGCAGTGCATTTGAGGCCTCGGTGGTAACAGAGCCGTGCGCTGATTCTGTCGTTGTTGTTGTCTGGCAATTGTGTTGATATTGTCTTTGTCCTTGTCGTAGCCATGGTTGTTGCTGCTGCTGTTGATAATGTTAGTGTTTTCTGAATACTAACGTTATTGTTAATACTGTTGCTGCTCTTGCTCTTGCTCTTGTGCTCTTGCTGTTACGGTTGCGGTTGTCGTTGACGGTGTCGTTGATGCCGTCCTCGTCGTCGTCCGCCTAGTGTTGTTTGTGTTTGTGTGTTTGTGTTTGTGTGTTTGTGTGTTTGTGTTTGTGTCTGTGTGTTTGTGTGTGTGTCTGTCTGTGTCTGTGTGTGTCTGTGTGTGTCTGTGTGTGTCTGTGTGTGTCTGTGTGTGTCTGTGTGTGTCTGTGTGTGTCTGTGTGTGTCTGTGTGTGTCTGTGTGTGTCTGTGTGTATCTGTGTGGGTCTATGTGTGTCTGTGCGTGTCTGTGTGTGTGTGTGTCTGTATGTGTGTCTGTGTGTGTGTGTGTGTGTCTCTGTGTGAGTCTCTGTGTGTCTCTCTGTGTGTCTCTCTCTGTGTGTGTGTCTCTGTGCGTGTGTTCGTGGTTGTGGCTCTGATTGATGTTGTTGATGACGATGACGATGATGATGATGTCGTACTATTCGTTGTTGCTGTTGTCGTTGTCGTCGTCGTTGTCGTCGTCGTTGTCGTCGTCGTTGTCGTTGTTGTCGTTGTTGTCGTTGTTGTCGTTGATGTCGTTGTTGTTGTCGTCGTCGTTGTTGTTGTCGTTTTCGAACTGAGCTGCCAACACGGATTGAGGGCCAAACAACACATGATGTCACATGAACGACACTTCGGCCCCAACTGGACCATGTGCTAGTGCGGTGGTAACGCTGCACTGACTGATCATACTAAACTAGAACCAAAACTCGACTTCAACCGAAATCTCAACCCTAGGAATCGAAAGCGAAATTGGAAAACTTCTTTCACCATCAGCATCTGCCTTGTTCGCTCCAGACCTTCCATATTCAGCGTGTGGATCAACTCCAAGGCACCTGCTAGGTCAGCGGCTCCTGCGCGAGTGGCTTGCCCCGAGACCCCTGAAGTTTCTGAAACGATCTCTTCTGGGTTGTAGATTTTGGGGCCTTAAAAGTATTTATGGATTGGTACTCTACCATCAGCCCTGGCAGCAGCACTTGGATAGCTAGCTTTAGCTTGCCGGCCCGCGAGCAGCCTGGCTCTTGCTGCACATATGCTGTTGGTAGCTTTCTGGGGGTTTAGGGGTTTTGGCGTTTAAGGGGTTTGGGGTTTTAGGGTTTAGGGTTTAGGGGTTTAGGGGTTTGGGGGTTTAGGGCTTTAGGGGTTTAGGGGTTCAGGGGTTTAGGCTTTAGGACTTAGGGCTGTGCCAATCGCAAGCACGCTTTTGTGTGCGCGCATCGGTCTGCAGCCTTACCCCTGCTTGAAGGATCATGGGACTTAGTAAGTGGGGTTATAAAGAAGGTAACTATACTTATAACTACTTATAACCCCAATTAAGGTACTTATAACCTGACTTACTAAGTCCCAGGATCCTTCAAGTGTCTAGAACATTTACAAGAAACGAGCGTCTTACGCATAGCCTTACAAGCCCGTTAATTATCTAACACCACACTAAAGCCCGAAACCGTAAACCTTAGGCCTAATCATAGGCTAGGCCCAAAATTAAATCCCCTTAGAACCAAAATACAAATCATAGTTTCAAACATTCTCTTGGGCTTTATATGAACAAAAATCAGAAATAGTTCCCAAGGAAACTATAGAAAACATCACGAAGCCTAAACTAAACCCCTCACTGGCCCAAAACCCAAGGAAATAAAGGTTGAAACTTTCAGAAACGACTACCATGTAAGAACCCCAAAAGTTGAAAAGTTGAGTTTATAGCCAATAAGACCCCTAAACCCTAAACCCCGAACCCGGAGTCCCTTTCAATGAGCCCTGCTGCGGGAAATCTTATCGAAAACGTGTAGAAATACAATACAACAGCTTACGCAGGACGCACTAAAGCACCTCTAGCCCTAAACCCTAAACCCCTGAATCCTAAACTTGAAACCGCATCATAAGCCTTATCACGGAAGCCATGTAGGCCCTCAGAACCCCTGAGCATGCAAACCCTAAGCATCCTGAGCCCCTGGACCAAAAAAACACCCTAGACTCTACCTTGACCCCAAATAGCCTACCTTTTTAAGGACTTATATAAGGAAATCATAAGAGGGAACCCAAAAGAGGTAGGTTCTTTAGGGTCCAGGTAGGCCCTAAGCCCCTGAAAAGAAACCCGTAAAACCTTCAAACTTAAGCCTAAACCCTAAACTCTTCAACCCGAATCCTCTAAACCCTTAACCCCGAAAGCCCTGAAGCCCTAGCCCTATAAATCCCTTTAAAGGAATCCCACAACACCCTCTATAGATCCCTTTAAAGGAACCCTAAACCCCTACACTTCGGGATCCTGCGTCCCCAATGCGATTGTCAGCCAAGCCAATGGTGTTCCACCTGGGTGGTTGTCAAAATTAGGGTCCCTTTTTGGGTACCTATTATAAGACGGCGCCTAAAAATGGCCTAATATTTATAGTATTTAAAAAGGGACCTTAATTTTGACAACCGCCCACCTGGAACTTGGTAGGAATCCGGCGATGACCTGCTTGGAGGGTCGGGTGACTTAGTAACTGGTTATTTTAGGGACTTATAAGTACCATAACCCCAATTCGGGTCCCTTTTAGGGTACTTATTTCAGCAGGGGGGGTAGGGTTCAGGTTTCAGGGTTCAGGGTTTAGGAATCCGGCGATGACCTTTCGGGGGAGGAGCGCAACCCTAAACTCTGAATCCTAAACCCTCAGCCCGAAACCCTAAACCCTCAAACCTAAGCCCTAAACCCTAAAACCCTAAACTGGGGGGGGGGGCTGGCTTTCGCAGATTCGCGGGTTCAGTTATGTTCTTGTGTAAGGGCTCTACAACACGAGCTCTGTAAGTTTCCGAAAACCGAGGACCCTAATATAGTACCCTAAATAGTAGGATCCATATTAGAAGGACACTAAAATAAGGTACCCCGAATTTTCGGAAACTCTAAACCCTTTATAGAACCCTTAGAGATCCCACCCATTAAGGAACCCCTTAAAGGATCCCTTTAAAGTAACCCCCCCAATCTTGTCAAGGCTTCCAGGACCCCCAATGGCCCTTTGCTGGAGCCTATTGGGTCTGTAATAGTGGGTATTTAGGGTTTAGGGTTTAGGGGTTTAGGGTTTACGGTTTAGCCTTTAGGCTATATTCGAGGGTAGTTGGGGGGTCGAAGTACAGAGTCTATAAGCTGAAAGTTCTATACGGGCGTTCATGGTCTAGGGTCTACCTTAAGCCGGAATAACCTACCTTTTTAAGGACGTTTGTAAGGAAATCATAATAAGGAACCCTAAAATGGTAGGTTATTCCGGCTTAAGGTAGTGTCTGGGGTGTTAATGATCCATAATTCAAGTCTTTGGGTCCAGGCTTTTGCCGGGTTCAGGCTATGAGTTTTAGGGCTTTGCTGGTTTATTAAGGGGTTCGGGGTTTGGGCTTCCTTGTAAGGCTTAGGCTTGGAGGGTTTAGAATCTAAGGCCTAGGGCCACTCAGACCGAACGCACCTTGGCTTCTGCGTCTCCGATCCCAGCGTTGCGCATGTATACCTTCGGGCTTCTCTGCTTTCCCAGGAAACAGTACAAAAGGCATCAAATCTTTCGACGGTTCAAGAAATAAAAAAGTTCGTCCTACTACTCACCCAGAATGCATGCTCCAGGGAGGTGCTAAACGAAAGATTTCGGATGAATCCCTCCACATTGGCGGCACACCGCTCCAGCTTCAGAGTGTGTACTTTCGGGAAGAAGTACACAGCCTCTCCAAGAATCTCCACCTCAGCGACCGGCAAATCGGAGAATCCGAGTCTGTCACATTGTTGTGCCTTGTCGTGGAATGCCGTCTGCTGTGCTTCGATCAGAGGTGTGAAATCGGACCTGTGTGTGAACTTGATCTCTCTCTTCGCCAACTCACTGCGAAACTTGTAGGGTGCCATCGGGGACCGGCGCGCCCACAAATGTTGGTTTGGCAACGCGCTGCTGGAATGCGGCGGTTTCCGATATACCTCTGAAGCTCGAAGACTTGACCATTGTAGCTCCGCCAAACACCACCCACGTAGTTCATAGTCTGTCGTATTTGGCACCAAGCTGGTGATTGGCCTGTCCTGCACTTCATCCTCGTCTGGACAATAAACGGGGATGCTGCTGGCTCTACTGCTCTTGTACGACTCCGGTGTCTGATCTGTGACGCATAGTGTCTGAGTCCACTCGTGCGCATACAGCACAGACATCTGCGCCATCGCCGCTCTGAAACTCTCCTCCTCGTGCCGTCTCTTGCGCTTGAACTGGTAGAGGCTGGAGTAGTCAATGAACACACCCAAGATCTCGTAGGACTCATCCTTGGTTGCCGTCGAAGGCCAGGCTACAAGTCTACTGTAGAAAGTTTTAATGGTTAGAGTATGTAGGGTTTTGGGGTATATTGTACTATAAGTAATAAGGAACCGTATCTTGAGCCCGGCCTCCCAAGAAGAGCGAGCAAACGCTGTGAGACAACACGAGAGGCAGAGAGAGAGAGAGGGAGAGACGCAGCAATAATTACATAGAAAAAGCGTGCTGTTCCCTAGCAAAAGGATGGGCAGCGGCGTTGTCAGGTGAGTTCACAAGCAAGAACACGCCACAACCCCCAATGCCAAGCATAACAGGGCCAGAGCGGAGAACAGGAAGGCACAGACGGAATCCCATACAAGCGTTTACACACCTAGGCCCCGGTCGTGTGACTTGATCGAGAGACGCGCGCACTCCGAGGCCAACGTCACTGGCGGGTAAAGGCAGGGCATGGCTAAACACTTGCAGCAAGCGACAGTCTAATAACAGAAAGCATGTACCCAGAACTTCCAATATCCCCTAAATTAAGGAATATACATTGTATCAAAAACCCAGACCTTCCAAGGAATATACCTTAAATCAAAGACACATTCCTGACCTTGTCGCCTTATGTAGCTCGACCAGAGAGGGAAGGGTGCTGGTGGAGCAAACGATCTTAGTGCAGCCCCCCCCAGGCCCTGGAACCGAGGTTTAGGGGTTTAGGGTTTTGGGGTTTAGGGGTTTAGGGGTTCAGGGTTTAGGGTTTAAGGGTTAGGGGTTTAGGGGTTTAGGGTTTAGGGGTTTGATGTTTCGGGTTCAGGGTTTATGCTTACTAATCCCTAGAGTTCAGCAAGGTTCCTGCTGCTGCAACTTTTGCAAAGATCTCACGATGGTCTCCAGCTGGTAGCCCCAAGGATCAGGATGTTCTCGCGTCTCCCAGCAATGGCTGACCTTGCGCAGAGGCTGCTGGGTGCAGGCTGGGGTCCATGTTGAACTCCCTAAAACCTAAACCCTAAACCCACCGTTTGGGGCACACTCTGTCGGGGTTGAAAGCGTGAGGCCCTACATGCAAGTTCACACAACTTCTTCTTTATCTTTCGAGTTTCGGGTTTAGGGTTTAGGGTTTAGAGTTTAGGGTTTAGGGTTGAGAGTTTAGGGTTTAGGGTTGGAGAGTTTAGGGTTTGGGATTTCGAGTTAGCAAACTTTTGCTTTTCATTTAGAGCTGCGACAATGATGGGGCTTGCCATGTGGCCAGTGCGAGACTGACCCATCTTCCTGGCCCAAGCCTTGGCTCTTCCCACAAGGCTTACACTACTTTAGGGTTCCTTATAGGGATCTATAGGGTTCCTTACAGGTATCTATAGGGTTTAGGGTTTAGGGTCTACTTGGAGGGTCGGGGGACTTAGTAAGTAAGGCAATAAGTACCTTGATTGGGGTTGTATAAGTTTATAGGTCTAGTTGCCTTATTTGTAACCCCACCTACTAAGTCCTATGATCCTCTAAGTAATCAAGGCATATAGCTGAAATTATACTATGAAGCCCCTTATGATTCGAGGTATATTCTTTCTTTGGCTACAAGCCCCAAGAGTAACCCAGGAATAAAAAGGGTTTCCTTTTTTGGGTTAAAGAGGGTTTCCTTTTTTGGGTTAAAGGGGGTTAGAAGAGAACCTAAACCCTAAAAAGGGCATAAGGGCCTACTCTAGGTCGAAGGCTAACTGTCGGAATTAAGACCCAGCGCTGCGGCTTTGGAGTTCAAGCCTTAGGGTTCACACTTCGGGATTTAGGGTTTAGGAGCTGTTGCTGCACCCCGAACACTTCGGCAAAGAGGCTAGCATTTCAGAATGGGAAACCAGAGCTGTCTGACCCGTAGACTTCACAGTGGCATGCTCCGCTTCTTGCCTGCGAGGCAGCGCGTGCCCTTCCTCTACCAACTCCTGCAGATACTCCAACCGCACCAGCCGAATGTCTGCATTGAGAAGAAAGCTGCCCAGGTACAGGGGATGAGACAGTGAGGAGGACTCGCACCAATCTCTGTGTACGGAGATGGCCAAGACAAAGCACACAAGAAAGAACATTTCCGAGACAACGAAACACAGAAAGTTGCCAAGCAAAGCACCGTTTGTCAGCATTCCGACGTCAGTGCTCTCCGGCAGCATCCTCCCCCAGGACATCACATTTGGGACCACGTACGGCCACAGTAGAAGCGCAAGGAGCAGGTTTGCGAAGAAGCAAAAATAAAGAACACCCCATTCTATGTTCTCACCGATAGCAAGAGCTGTGAAAAAGCGGCAAACCTCTCTGCAACCCACCTGAGTGTTTCCGAAAATGGGGGACCCTAATATAGTACCCTAGATTGTAGGATCCTTCTTATAAGGACCCCAAAATAAGGTACCCCTAATTTCGGAAATTCTAAACCTTAAACCCTTTATACAACCCTTATAGATCCCTCTAAGGAGCCATTAAAGGATCCCTTTAAAGGTACCCCTAATTTCGGAGACTCCCACCTGCTTACAGCTCCATCGTGTGCGCCTGGATGTAGCAAGCCAACAGAGACGAAGACTCCAGCCACAGACAACTATCCTGGGTTCTTGTTAAGGGTTAGGATTTAGGGACTTACTTGGAGGCCCTTTTGACTTAGTGAGTAGGGTTAGTAAGGTGGGTTATGGGGATTATAATAGGGCTTCTAGGGGATACTAAGTAGACTTACTAAGTCAAAAGGGCCTCCAAGTAGGGTCTAGGGTTTTAGGATTTAGGGTTTAGGGTTTAGGGACTAGGGCACTACAAAATTCCGAGCTTAGGGTGCCCCAGAGAGCCCAATACCCCTTCATTAAGGAATAGAGCTTATATAAATCATAAGATGCAGCCCCTTATAATTTAAGCCATGTTCCTTAATTAAGGGGTATTGGGCTCTCGGGCTCTTGTTAAGGAAGTTAATTTAAGATACAATAGTAGGGAAACCATATTAAATATTATTTGCTATAGATCTCTACTATGGTATCTTAACTTAAACCCCTTAACAAGAGCCCAGTAGCAAGCTTGCGGAAGTCAAGCCGACGATCAGAGAGAGCTGTGGTGGAAGCGGCGGGTGTCCATGTTCTACCTCCGCTCAACAAGAGCATCTTCTAACCGCGGGTTCCTTAAAGGGCTCCTTAAAGGGATCTAGAGGGTTCCTTAAAAGGGAAATATGGGGATTAGGGTTTAGGGTCTATAACTAACCAGTGGTTTTGGGGGTTCCCTTGGCTCTTTCGCTCCTTGTTTAATCGGGATTATCATCATCCCTGGCTCCTTAGCTCCCATAATATCAATGGTTAGTCTTTCATGGGAGAAAAGGATCAGAAGTCCCTTTTTCGGGTTCAGGGTTTAGGGCCCTAAGCGCTACACCCCCTAAACCCTAAACCCTAAACTATCAACTCCTAAACCCTAAACACTAAACGCTAAACCCCCTAAACCCTAAGCCCTATAACCTGACTTAACATTGCAGCCAGGGCTCTTGCCAAGAGACCGTGCTCAGGTCCAAGCTCCACAAATCACTCAGATATGGGACAGGATCCCAACCTTCAGTTGAGGGCTGACACCTCAAATAAGGAGGTTCAGGGTTTGGGGTTTCGGGTTTAAGGCTTAGGGGTTTAGGGTTTACGGCTTAGGGGTTTAGGGTTTAGGAACATACTTACACAGAGAATTCACTGAGAACCCATTCTGCTTCACGGCATGTGGAACTTTCGGAGGCCTCACAAGGTGGGATGAAGGTAGGTGGGATTAAGGATCCCTTATATAAGGACTCTTATTTGCGAATATCCCACCTACCTTCATCCTACCTTTTGAGGCCCCCGAAACTTTGCTAGGAGCGCCTGTGTGCCACGGCATCAGCAAAACAGGGGACAGGATTAGCAACCGCTATCAAAAACCCTTAACCCTACTGACCCTAAACCCTCAGCCCCAAACCCTAAGCAGGCGTTTCAAGAAGGGCCCCTAAACCCCAAACCCTGAACCCCTAAACCCTAAAGGCTAAACCCTAAACCCTCTAAACCCCAAACCCCCAAACCCTAAACCCCTAAACCCTAGGCCCCCATTTGGAGTGCCAGGGTTTCCGGATTGCCGAACCTATGGGAGCAGGTACCCTCTTCTGTTTTGGGGTTTAGGGTTTAGGGGTTTAGCGTTTAGGGGTTTAGGGTTTAGGGTTTAGGGCTGAGGGGTTTAGAGTTTTTTGGTTTCGGGTTTAGGGGTTTAGGGGTTTAGGGTTAAGGGTAAAGCCTACTCCTCAAACCCTACAGCCTTCTTTTGCCGATAGGTTCTTGTCTTAAGTCTACCCAGCTACTGTGGGTATGAAACCCTGCACATGTCCCCATGAGCTGCACATGAACGAGTCGGATTCTTCCAATCGGGTACTCGCAGGAATTTGCGTTCTTGCGCCCTAAGGTGACTTAATGTCCGATCACGAAACAACTTTTAGGGTTTCGGGTTTGGGGTTTAGGGTTTTCGGGTTTAGGGTTTAGGGTTTGGGGTTTAGGGTTTAGGGTTGGTTTCGGATTTGGGGTTTTGGGCGCAGCGAAAACCTAACGAGCAGCTTTATCGCTACCAAGCCGCTACCATCTTTGAGGCGTCGGCCTCCATGAACCCATAGTTTCCCGGCCGCATACACAGCAGCATAACCTGTTCGTTTGGGCGATCCGGCGCCGCTGCTTCTCCTCGGCTGATGTTACATAAACAATGCATATTAAAAGAAAGTGAATCTTCTCTACCTGTACAAACGTAACACTGCTCGGTGACGACAGTCGCGGGAGGAAGACTGTCAAGCCCTGGAAAGCGAAAAATACTAAATCCTAAACCGTAAACCCTAAACCGTAAACCCTAAACCCTGCAAGTTGAGTCATGGCCTCCTAGGTTCCTGAGTGGCCCCTTAACAGTAAGGGTACCCGTTTTCCTGCCTATTCGGTTTGTAATAAAGGGGAGCCTACACTGAAAAGGGCAAAAGGGTACTACTCAGGGACCCAGCAGACCCGAAACCCCCACAGATCCCTTATAGAACCCCCTTGAGGCTCCCTTTAAGGAAAGTTAAGCCTAAACCGCCATAGATCCCTTATAGACTCCCCCAAGGATTCCCTAAACCCCAAACCCTAAACCCTAAACCCGGCCCGGTCTGAGAGCCCAAAGTCCAGAATCAGGATGACACTTTGAAATGAGAGGGGGCTTAGTATCATATGAAGTAGGGCCTATATTACCATTTTGGTGAGTGTAGATAGGGCTCCTTTTGAATTTTGGTGAGTGTATGTATTGGGTTTTATTATGGGTATACTAGTAATATAAACCATACTCTATATGATGTAAGGTATATTCCTTAATTAAGGGATAGTGGGTTTTCTGGGTTAAGCCCGGTCTCAGAGCCCAAAGCCGCTAAACCCCAAACCCGAAACCCCAAACCCTGAAACCCTAAGCCCTAAACCCTAAACCTGGTTTAGAGTTTAGGGTTTAGGGTTAAACCCCACAAACCCTAAACCCTAAACCCAAATCAAAAGGGATCTATAAGGCCCGGTCTCAGAGCCCAAAGTCCAGATTCAGGATTGTAGGACCAAACCTTGGCTGAACTCTGAACCCCTCCTAAAAGTTAAACTTTTAGCCTCCTTATTATAGTTCATATAGAAACCCAAAAAGTCAAGAGGATTTTAAAAAAAAAAACTCTATATAGAAACCCAAAAAGTTAAAGTCCTAAGAGCCGACCATAAGAACGCCAGGAAACGTCGTCCAACATGCCAGCCTCGCTGTGCCTCCAGCCGCCCTGAATCCAGATCCTGGGTTCTTCTTAGGGGACCTAAGGGTTCTATAAGGGTTCCTTTAAAGGGACCTAAGTGTTCTATAAGGGTTCCTTTAAAGGGACCTAAGGGTTCTATAAGGGTTCCTTTAAAGGGACCTAAAAGTTCTATAAGGGTTCCTTTAAAGGGACCTAAGGGTTCTATATGGGTTCCTTTAAAGGGACCTAAGGGACCTAAGGGTTCTATAAGGGTTCCTTTAAAGGGACCTAAGGGTTCTATAAAGGATTCCTTTAAAGGGGCCTAAGGGTTCTATAAAGGATTCCTTTAAAAGGGTTAAGGGTTGTTATAGGAATCTTTCCTGGGTTCTTCTTAAGGGATTTACTTGGAGGGTCGGGGGACTTAGTAAGTAGGTAGTAAGTAGACTTATAAGTACCCTAAGAGGGACCCTAATGGGGGTTATGGTACTTATAAGTCCCTAAAACAACCAGTTACTAAGTCCCCCGACCCTCCAAGTAAGGGTTCTATAAGGGTTCCTCTAAAGGGGTTTAGGGTTTAGGGAAGGGTGTTTATAGGAATCTTTCCTGGGCTCTTCTTAAGGGATTTGGTATAAGGCACCACAGGAACTAATGTAAGTTACCCTAATAAAGAAACGATCCCTAGTATGGAAACTGAAACCTTAAACCCTAAACCCTTAAAGGAGTCCTTATAGATCCTTGTTCTGGTAACCTCACAGGCCCAAAACCCAAGGAAATAAAAGTTGAAACTTTCAGAAACGACTACCATGTAAGAACCCCAAAAGTTGAAAAGTTGAGTTTATAGCCAATAAGACCCCTAAACCCTAAACCCTAAACCCCGAACCCCCTTGTTCTGGTATCTTAACAGAGCCCAGGATCAGCCCTCCAGCTGAAGCAATAGCATGGTGATACCGACTCGGGGGTCGTTCCTCGGATCTTGTTATGGGATTTAATTTCAGGGTTTGGGGTTTAGGGCTTAGGGTTTAGGGGTTTAGGGTTTAGGGATTTAGGGTTCAAGGTTCTGGTTATGGGATTCAACTTCAGATGCCATGATAAAGAAACCATATTACTTACTATAGATCCCTATTATGGTTTTTCAATTTAAGTCCCCTAAACCCGTATAGAATCCTTATAGGAACCCTTGTAAATCTCCGGAAAAAAGGAATGAAACAGGAACCCAGTCTCAGTTTCGGCAGTGTCCATCCGGTTCCAGAGCCCAGCAGATATATTGTAGGACCACAGGTCATCGTTATAGCTGCCACCATGGATCCAAATCACTCCTACAGCATAGGGTTTAGGGGCTTAGGATTTAGGGTTTAGGGGTTTAGGGTTTTGGGTTTTGGGGTTAAGTCGCTCCTTCAGCATATACCGCGACATGGTCCATGCGTGGAGAGGGTCCCATTCCTTCACTTTGTAAACTCCAGTTGCCAGTATCAATGTCATAGCTCCACAGGTCATCCATTGTCGCTGTACTACCCAGATCTGTTCTTCCGTATCCGCCGTGAATCCAAAGTCTACCGGAAGCATACACGGCCACGTGGCGATGACGTGCCCAGGGTCCTGCAAGATTGTTCATCAGATCCCAGCGCCCAGCGGATATATTGTAGGACCACAGGTCATTGCGCTGTCCTCCAGGTGATCCTGCCCAGCCTCCGTGGACCCAAATCGCTCCTTCAGCATACACTGCCACGTGCTCCTGACGTGGAATGGGCCCGGGCCTTTCGAATTGGCTGTGTAACGCCCAGTGGTCAGTGTGAATGTCATAGCTCCACAACTCATCTAGCAGCGATGTACCCGATCCGTAATCCGTCTCTCCCATCCCACCGAAAAACCAAAGCACATCGCCATTGTCGGAAGCAGCTGCTGCGTGATCTCGCCGGGCCGACGGGACGGCAGCGACTGTGGCCACCAGAAAATAGACCTGCAGCATGGCCCAAAAACCTAAACTAAACCCAAAAGCCTAAACTAAACCCTAAGCCCTAAACTAGGCCCTAAATCCCAAAGCCTAACCCCTGAAGAAGAACAGGGCACGTAGCAAGACCAAGCCATGGCGTGGCTCGATTGAGCAGCCCGCGCGCCACGGGCCCCAAGGCTACTTGGAGGAGAAAGTCCCATCTATAGGATTCCTTAAAGGGATCTATAAGGGTTCCTTAAAGGGATCTATAGGGTTCCTTAAAGGGATCTATAGGGTTCCTTAAAGGGCTCTATAGGGTTCCTTAAGGGAATCTATAGGAATCCTTAAAGGGATCTATAGAATTCTTAGGCAGTCTAAGGGTTGTACGGGGTTTCTATCTGGGTAGTATGAGGGTTCTACTTCTGTAAGGTTACAGGCTAGCAGGCCTAGTAAGTAAGCTTACATGTACCTTAAATAACTGGGAGTGTAAGTGAGAATATGTATAGTTACCCTGTTTATAACCCTGGTTAGAGAGTGCCATGAACCGTTAATTATGGAAGGAATCGATTGTCATGCCTGAATGTGCATGCTGTTCATGCCGCTCGGATTGCCTTCTGTCTAGGCAATACTTTTATGCGTTTGGCATCAAGCTCGTTTGCTGTCGGGTACAGAGCGGAAGGCCTTCGAAACATGCGTTTTGCTTTGCATGTCAGGCTACGGAGCCAAGGAAAGGCTCTGCGGCGAGTCAGTCATGCAATGCAGTACACTTCCTCCTCAAACATCATACGTCATAAACCCGAAAACCCTTCAAATCCGAACCAAAACTCTAAATTTTAAATCCTAGCTCGCCAGTTCTGAGCGAACAGACCGCATCCTAAACCCCTTGGGTCTTAATGCACAGGGAAGTCGGGGCTTCTACCCTCGGTGATGGGAGGCCAAAAGGGGGGTTTAAGATTCTTGGGGTAAGGATTCTTGAATATGAACCCTATCATGGGAACCCTAATCCATACTAAACCCCATAGGCTAAAACCCCTCTTGGCCTCCTATGATACCCTTATAGATCCCTTTAAAGGATCCCTTATAGCACCCTTTAAAGGAACCCTAGGAACCCTTTTAACCTCCTATGACCTCGGGGCCCTATAAACATCTTTCTTGGAGAATTGGCCTTAATGGGGGCCCGAGCCTATAATGAGCCATATTATGGGTATATAATAGCTATGTTAAGGGTATATACCTAGGGGTCCTTATTAAGGGTCCCTCCTTCTACCCTTGGAATAGACATCTTTCTTGGAGAATTGGCTGCACAGAGAGCCCAATACCCCTTAATTACGGAATATGGCTTCATATTATGATTTTAACTATATTCCTTATTTAAGGGGTATTGGGCTAGGGCTTAACCCCGCGGCCTGGGCTTCAAAGTTCCAAAGCCCTTAAACCCGAGACCCTCAACCCCTAAATCCTAAACTCGGAGAGCCTCAAACCCCAAACCCTCAGCCTGAACCCTCAACCCCTCAAGGGTTCTGGTTCTGTGGCCCTGGGGCCCCAAACCCTATACCCTAACCCCTAAACCCCTAAACCCCCAAACCCTAAACTCGCTGCGAATAGCAGCAGCGAGCGTGCCGAAGCGTCAGTGAGGCTGGCTCCGGAGCTGGCGCCACTGGCACCACCATTGGGGCATCCCGCACGATTGGTGCCTCCAACAGCACCAGTTGGGGCCAGCACCGGCTCAGGTGCTGGCGCATATGACAGGCATGCTAGCCAATCAGAATTGTATGGCCCCATGGCTGGCCCTGGGCCCGGCTCTGACCCTCTGACCCTGCTGGCCTGCCTGGCTGGCTGGCCTGGCCCTGGCCCTGGCCCCCTCTGGCCCTGGCAGTGGCCCTGTGGCCCTGCGCCTGCCTGGCTGGGCAGGGCCGTGGCGCTGGCCCTGGCCCTGCCCTGGTCTGCCCTGCCCTGCCCTGCGCTGCTCTGCCCTGCCCTGCCTGCGCTGCCCTGCACTGCGCTGCCCTGCCCTGTGCTGCCCTGTCCTGCCCTGCCTCTGCCATGCTTGCCCTGATTTTGGGCCACCGCCAGACCAAGCCACAAACCTTGAAAAAAACCCTAAACCCGACAAAGGTCATAGACTGGGTGGGCGAGACGTGGTGGTGTGCGCGGAGCATTGACACACCCTAAACCCCGAAACCCTGAACCCCTAAACCCTAATCCCCTTAAACCCTCAACCCCAGAACCCCCAACCCCTCAAGGGTTCTCGTTCTGTGGCCTCGGGCCCTAAACCCTAAACCCCTGTACCCCTAACCCCTAAACCCCTAAACCCCAAACTTCGGGCTTTGGGCGTCAGTCCGGAGTTTCGGAGTTTAAGGGTTAGGGTTTAGGGTTTAAGGGCTTAGGGTTTAGGGTATAGGGTTTAGGGGTTTAGGGTTAAGGGGTTAGGGTTCAAGGGTATAGAGGTTAGGGGTGTAGGGTTTAGGGTTTAAGGGTTTAAGGTTTAGGGTATAGGGGTTTAGGGTTTAGGGCTCAAGGGCGGTTAGGAGTTTCGGGTTGAGGGTTTAGGGGTTTAGGGTTTAGGGTTTAGGGGTTTAGGGTTTGAGGGTTAGGGTTCAAGGGTTTAGAGGGTTAGGGGCTCAGGGTTTAGGGGTTAGGTTTCAAGGGTTTCGGGTTAGGAGTTTCGGGGTTTAAGGGAGTTTCGGGTTTAGGGTTTGGGGTTCAGGGTTTAAGGTTTAGGGTTTAGGGGTTAGGGTTCAAGGGTATAGGGTTAGGGGTTTCGGGTTTAGGCGTTTAGTTATTCAGGGTTTAGGGTTCAAACATAGAAACATGCTCGACTTTCGACGACTGCTGGCCTTTTCTCACCAGCGACACTTTGCAAGCCGCTGGATACATGGATCTACGGAAGATCGGTTCCGTATCAGTGCTGAGTTGCTCTCTGAGGTTAGACTGCTGGGGATTTTCACAGGTCTGCCTCGAGAACAGCGCGTGAAAGCGGTACTACGGAGGCCCAGCATGGGAACAGAGGACCAACATAAACAAGGCTCAATGGCTCTTACGTTTTCGGAATCATGTCAATTTGTGTCATGCTTATGGGCGTCGCCCGCTCGGCTGTTTTCAACAGTCAGCACCATCAAAGATGCCAAAAGCGGCTGCCACTTGGAGGATCCTAAGGACTGCAGTTGCCGTACCATGAGGTCGGGTGCCCGTAGCTTAAAGCCTACAGCTTGCTACCAGTAAGCGCATCAAAGTCCCATGATCCTGCAAGCACACCACCGAGGGCATACGGCTAGGCCGGAGGGCAGGGGTAGACAGTCAGGGTGAGGTTGACCATTCGCGGCAGGAGGGCATCTTAAGCCCAAAGACCCTCAACTCGGGGTTGGGAGCAGGGTAGCTCGATTCCGAAAGTGGCAGCTGATTATCGCAGACGTCTGCATTCACGATGCGGGGGGATGGATTTCATTCAATAGCTGCGGAGCACGCGATGTACATAATATATATATATATATAATCTCTCGAAGGTCTGCCTCAGGCAAGGGCCGAGAAAGAAGCACTGCAGAGGGACAGGCAAACATGGGTCCGAGTTCTTAAAACCGTTCGCTGATAGATTTCGGGGGTTCAGGGTTTGAGACAACGGTGTCGCCTCCCTGCCGCTCGTGAGCATCACCTGCTCTGAGTTGCTTTCAAAGTCTGCGGGAAGCATCAGCGATGCCGTCCTGCGTCTGAGGTCGTGCAACGCTTCTGTGCCGAGACCAGCACGGCTTGGCCGGGGGCCCGGAATCGGAAAGCCAGAAGTCCTTACACACAACCCTACTTAAAGGATCATGGGACTTAGTAAGTCGGGTTGTAAATAAGGTAACTACACTTCTAAGACCCCAATTAAGGCACTTAGAATCCCTACTTACTAGGTCCCATGATCCTCCAAGTAAAACCCGGAGAATGCTAAGTCAGTCTTTGCTGTCTCTGACTTCCATTGATCCTGCCCACAGAAGCGAAGGCCGGAGCGGCTTGTCCAGCAAAATCTCTTCTAGACGCAAAGCGTGTGAGACTTGCAGCCGGCATTTGAAGTCAGAAGCCCCCCTAAACCCTAAACCAACCATGCCTTTCTTGATTCCGAGGAGTCGGTGGTTTATTTCCAAAGACTAGGGTTGCCACTTCTAGGGATCTTCATCCCAAGCCCTGAACCCCCTTAAGAGGGCTGCGTTTTCAGGCTCCTGTGGTTTAGGGTGTATGGGTGTTTTTGGGGTTTACGACTTAGGGGTAACGAGATTTGCAAGCCTGTGATGGTTCCCCAGAGAGCCCAATACCCCTCAATTAAGGAATATAGCTTAAATCATACTATGAAGCCCCTTACAATTTAAGCCATAGTCCTTAATTAAGGGATATCGGAAACCCTAATCCCTATAGATCCCTTATAGATCCCTTTTAGACCCCTTTTTAAAGGATTCCTAGGTATATTCCTTACTTAAGGGGTACTGGGCTCTCTGGTTCCGGGTCTGGCGATGTACCGCAACTCTGGGCAAGAGGTTGGGAAGACTGCGGGATGCTCCGAGGTTGGCATCACAGGGATCTATAGGGTTCCTTCAAGGGACCTATAGGGCTCCTTAAAGGGACTACTTAGAGGATCAGGGGTCTTAGTAAGTAGGGTCATTCGGGAGGTAACTATAGTTATATAATATGTGTGTATGTATATATATATATATATATATATATATATAACTATACTTACCTCTCGAATAACCCTACTTATATATATATATATATATATAAACAAACAGCTCTAGTTAAGGTACTTGTAACCCTGGCCCTACATGGCCTCTGTGAACTTTAGGACTCGAGCTCACGATGTAGCCCGACATGGTCGGCTACACCGAATGCCCTAGACCTGAACGAGAACAGGCCAGGCCCTGACAGGGCACATTTGCTTTAGGAGACACGCCCCAGCTATTCCTGAGTTAGCCCGACACAGCACACTGCATCCAAACCCCGAGATTTCCCTAAACCCTAAACCCTGGACCCTAAACCCTGAACCCTACACGTGAACCCTGAATTCTGGACCCTAAGCCCTAAAGCATCCAAAGCCCGAGATTTCTAAAGGCCGATGCTCATTCGAAGAGATCTATAGCAGCGACGGATCAGCGATGCAGCCAGGAGGTTCCTTGAGGCTTCTGTTGTCTAATATCGTGGCCTTGATAATTGGAATAGGCTTTCGGGCCCACTGTACTATAATATAAGGACCCGTGTTGGTCACTGCTTAGGCCCCTCATATCCCTCAACCCTAAACCCTAAACCCTATAGGTCGCACGAGACCGGAGAGGCTTTATGCCGAACATGCCTTCCTTGAGCCCCAGCCACGGTTTCTCGGTTTTCGGGATGGTAGGACCCAGAGGCCCCAATATCCCTTGATTACGGAATATTCCTTAAATCACATCAAGGATCCTACTATATTTTAAGGTATATTCCTTAATTACAGGATATTGGAGTCTTTGGGGACGTCGGGTATCATGATACAGGAGGCAGCAGATTCCGCTGTTTGACTCAGGGGTGCACGATTCGTTAAAGCAGGATTTTGGGTTTAGCTAGGCCTTCAGGCTGAGGGCTTGTAGCTCGGAGTTTTGGTGTGGTGTCCGGTTTCGAACCACGCTTAAGACTCCAAACCCCCAAACCCCGTAAGGCCCCTTTAGCCTACATGATGCTTATGAGGAACCCCTTTCAGGATCCCTTTCAACATTTTCTTGGGGTTGAGGGCTGGCTTTCAAGCCTCCCCTCAGGTCCTACCGAGAGCCGCCAGGGCTCCGCAACTGCCACGGACACATCCGCGGTGGCCCGGAGGCCAGCGCTTTTCGTCTCGGAAACCTTGTTGCTTCAGGGTTTAGGGGTTTGGGATTTAGGGCTGAGGGTTTAGAGCTGAGGGTTTGGAGTTTGGGGCTTAGGGTTTGGGGTTTGGGGTTTCAGGGTTTAGGGCTGAGGGTTTAGCGCATTCAGGGTGTGGTGGGAATAATGGGGTGCTCCCACAAAAAGTAGTGGGCCAAAGGCGCTAAATCCCATTCTTGGTGGCACAAAACTGTGTTCCGGGCTTATGGTCTTGCAGGTGGCTCTTCCCCTGCTCCGAACGGAGGACGAAGGCTTTGACATAGGACGAAAAGAAGAGACAAATCCCACTCACCGATTCTTCCTGAAATCTTCAAAGTTCATCATATATCAGCTAACCGACTCCCTAGCAGACTGTTCCGCGAATGAGCCGTTCCCTTCGCAATCACCGTAGCCTGAGGAGCATCCGCCGCCTGACCATCACTGCCAGCGGCATGACCGACCCTCTGTCCTGAGGCACTAGACAGACAGAAAAATGCACGATTAGTTTTCGTCACTTTGCTCTGCAACCTCCAAGATAGAAATGAAACCCCTTAGCCGGGATTCACACAGGTAACGAATGTGCAATTTGCGTGGAAAGAGAGAAATGCATGGGTCGGGTCCATAGCGACACGCACGGCCAAAGGTTACACCGCTTGTAAACCCAAGGCCTAAACTTAAACCTGGGAGCGTGAAAACCCCGAAGCTCGTAGCCCTAAGACCCCGAAGCTGCCAAAAAAACCCTACACCCCGAAGACCCTCAAGCCCTGAAGCCCTGAACCCGAAAAGCCTGAAGCCCGAAAACCCAGAAAAACCCTCAAACCCCTAAAACCCCTCGGCCCCAAAACCCCCCCGTGGAACCGTTGTAGGAACCTTTGCAGAACCCTTTCAACCAGCTCTCTTCAAAAAGCCCTAAACCCTAAATTAAACCTTCACAGGACCCTCTCAAACAACTCTTTCCGAACCTTATTCCGAACTAAACCCTACACCCTGAACCCTAGCCCTAAACACTGAACCCTAAACCCTAACCCTAAACCCTGAACCCTAAACCCCGAACCCTAAACCCTGAACCCTAAACCCTAAACCATTGCAGGCAAAAGGCCCCCGATCTTCAGCCCCACCACCTCCAGGCGAGCTGTAAGGTATGGAAGGGATCTATGAGGATTTAGGGTTTGGGGCTTAGGGTTTAGGATTTAGGGCTTAGGGTTTAGTGACTAGTGTTTGGGGCTTAAGTTTCAGGTTTAGGGCCTGGGGCTTTGGGTTTAAGGTTTAGGGCTATGAATTTAGGGCTCAGGGCTTTGGTTTAGGGTTTGGGGTTTTCGGCTAAGGGCTTGAGGTTTCGAGCTTAGGGTGTTGAGTTCGCGGTTGGGGCGGGGTCAGTTCGGGTTGCGCGCTGTATTCCACCGCCCGGTTTGGGGTCGAGCTTCTTCGTACTCACATACTTTCTTGGATGAAGGCTAGGAAACAAGGGACCTCAATGTAGAAGCGCCAAAAGGTAGGGTCCTTCATGCGTGGCGCTGCGCAAAATGCAGGCCTACGATTGCAAAACCCCCTGGTAGGACTTCCTCTTGCAAACCCTAAATCCTAGATCCCAAACCCTAAACCCCAGACCTTGAACTCCAGACCCTGGACCCTAAACCCTAGACGCCCAGGAGGAGGATTTTCTTTTCTTCGGTGCGGCTCGGCTTTGGTTTGGCTTGGCCTGGCTCGGTTTAAGGCCCCAAACCCTAAACCCCTAAACCCTAAACTTAGGCCCTAAACCCTACAGTTTAGGGGCTGTCATAGAGGGGCTTCAATAAAAGCAACTAGGGCTTTCAGTGTGCCCTGAACCCGAACCCTAATAAGCGGGCCTGAGTGACGCGATCGAAACGAAAGAGGCTTTGAATAGAAAGGCAGCTGTAGCAAATTTGAGTTGGGATTGCAGGGGGACTCTACTACCGCTTCTTCAGACCTTGTTTATTACGCACTGTGTGCGCCGTAAAGGCTAACCTTTGGCATAATAGAGGGGTTATAAAACCCCAAAAAGTTTCAAGGTGCCCTACCTACTCTATTACGACGGGTAGGCTTTGGTGTTTCAATGCGCCTGCTGCGAGTTTGCAGCCTCCAAACCAGCAACCCCAGACTCGCTGATCCGGTTCCCAGTGAGGTCCATCAGGAAGCTCTCAAACCTCTCAGACACATGTAGGGCCATGTAGGGATTCTGGTTTCGGGCTTTAGGACTTAGGCTTTCAGAACATCACGCCCTGGTGGCGTGCTTTTTCGTGTGTTCGTGTTTTCACTTGCACTCTCAGATGGCAAGCTCAGCAAGCTCTTCGTTTCCCGCAACATTGTTTTTGCAGCATACAACATTTTACGACGTGTTCTGAATTGACAACAAATTCCACCAAACCATTTGAAAATGTTCGGGCATAACCGAACACCGGTCCGAGAGAGATAAAGTTATGGGACAAACTTTCAAGGACATAAGGGCATGGCCTTAAGGTGTGGCTCTAGGCCTCTAGGCCTTGGAGTATGGAGGCCTGGAGCCCTGGAGCCCTGGGGGGGGGGGGCGCCAAAAAAAAAAGAAAAAAAAAATCTTGTGTGCAAAATCTCTGGCCAATTTTTTTTTTTTTTTTTTTTGGCGCCCGGCCCCCAGGGGCCATCCGGAGGGCGCATGTCTGTAAGCAGAGGATGCCTGGAGCCTTCGGCCTTTGGCACTCCCAATCCAGCGTTGCTCAATCATTTCAAGGTTTCCAGTATGCCACCAATCCTGTCCTGTCCAATGAAACATCCCTCTGTCAAGACTTTACGCTTGCTAGTGTTGTCCACCACCTAGGAAAGCGGCTCCAACACCTGAAAACTGTGACAGAAGTATGATGGGTAATTCATTCTACACAGTAAAAGTATGATGGGAATAAGATCCTTGTACCGGGACCCAAGTTCAGAAGGAGTTATTGGGCCTCGAACCCAAATGCATATGATGGTCCTAACCGTCTCAAGAGATGCTGGGTGGCGAACCCAAAACCTTAGACTGTAGAAGATATTGGACCCTCACCCAGAAACTTATACAATGCAGTAAAAATTGCAAGCTACAATATCCTTGTTACATTTGAGGCGGAACATATATAGTTACCTGGAAGCCAACCTTGGTATATAGATGTTTGTACCAACATATATATGTATGTAGCTGTATACACGTCTGTGTATGCATGTTGGTATATGACATGAAGGCATGCATACACACCTGCATATGGATGTGTAAGCTTACATACACACATGCTCATGCTGTTTCCATGTTCATGCTTTTCCCATCCTTATGCACACATACATATATGCTTAATACATATGTACATACACGGGTATATACGTACATACATAAGTATCACGGAAACATGTGCAATATTTCTGAAATAAGCGAGCATATGTGTATGCAACAATGAGGCATTTAGGCAGCCATGCACTGAAAGGAAAATGGAGGGCCGCAGGCTCCTATCCCAAACCCCGAAAGGGCATGGTGGGTACAGGATGCGGAATTTCAAATCTGTGTGGAAGCACGTCCTCCACACCTGTACATATATACATCTACATATACATGTAATATATGTGTGTGTACATATATATATATACATAGATATGCACGTATACAAGTTCATGCACTCTCGAAGCCTATGCAACCATATACAAGTTCGTGAACTTTGGAAGCCCATGCACGCGCACACACATGTATATGCATAAATCTATCTCTATATAAATATGCACATATAGATAGGTTTTTTTGCGATATACATGCAAGTACCTGGGTATGTAACCGCAAGGCCACGCTACAGTTGCACACACGATGTAAATTGGAACCTTGCAAGCATATTATGGGTGGATGACACATGTATACATGCATACACACACACATATAACTTTGTGTGCATCACGGAAATGGGTAATTGCATTGTCTTTGGGATTTACATGGAAGTGGGTGGATGATGGCGAACAACAGGTCTTCAATAGAATAACTGATTAACATGCCCTATTACACCGTAAGCTAATCCTTAAAAGGTGTGGCCCACCCAGCCAGAAATGCAAATCACATTAGGGGATGCTGGGAGACCACCAGAATAAAAACCAGAGTCTGAACACTTTAGTACATATCACGGGCTACACTTATCCACGAAAGATATATAGTGTGTAGCGAACCTGAGTACCGAAAACGATGACGTGTGTCCAGAGCATCCAAACTCTACTGGAAGACATTCGGCTGAAACGCAGTGCCGCGCATGGATGTAATGAGCCAAACCCCCGTAGAAGTTCGATGAGTGGCGGAACCACAACTGGATCCTCAAATCGATGACTGTTTTCCCAAATACAGGCAGACTAGAAGATATTGCACTCTCAATCCAAGGCTTCAATAGTAGATGACGGGGTAGCAAACCTTCAAAGGTGGCAAACCCCTCAGAGCTTTATAAGTGTAGCCACGGCTTCAGATGCGGTTGTATATACACATCGATGACGGTCTGCCTGTCAATATAGTCGCTTTTATGCTGCAGCCCACTCCACAATTTCAATCCCTAGTTGAAGACATGATATATACATTAAGTTACAGGTCAGCATTCGTATGCACATGTAAATATACACATTTCCAGAAACACGCATCCATTAAAGCCAGATGCATATGTGGATAGACACCCAGGGGTTGTGATGGATTCTTAATGATTTTGACATGATATGCCAGATCACGCACCTCAACTTCAATGGAGATGCTGGATGGCAAACCTCCTCCCTCTTCCCCAACAAACTCCTACTTCGTGACATGCCCAAGACTCAAAATCAAGGGTGCATGCCTGGATGAGGCAACACAACGCTTAATATTCTGGGTGCATAAACTCGTGTGAAAACCTCTAAATTACCGAGAAATACACGCCACCAGGGCGTTGCACTCTCTAGGCTTTAGGGTGCAATATTTAGGGTACACTTCTCGATTGGTGGCACGCAGTTGAATGCGAAATGTCGAGTGTCTCACACTATGTGGTGCTGATGAAAACCTATCCGATACCCATGACTCGACTTCAATTCGAATCTCAACCGTCGGAAACGAAAGTGAAAGCAGGATTCTTTCACCATCAGCATCTGCCTCGTTTGCTGCAGACCTTCCATACTCAGCGTGTTCATCAACTCCAAGGCACCTGCTAGGTCCGCGGCTCCTGTGCGAAAGGTATGCCCCGAGACCCCTGAAGTCTCTAAAACGACTTCTTCTGGGTTTAGGATTTAGCGTTTTGGGTTTGGGGTTCGGGGTATAGGGTCGCCTATCTCAGACCCTGGGCTACTCAAGGGTACTTTACAGGAATCAGGGCCTGGGTTGCTACCATCAGCCCTGACAGCAGCACTTGGATAGCTACTTGGAGGATCATGGGACTTAGTAACTAGTTCATGGTGGGGATAGGGTTGACAATTTAATTTGTATTCCTTATTGGGTTTAAGTACCCATGAAAATGTAAAATTTTACCCAACTATGACAAAGGTAAGTAAGGTTATACATAACTCAATCGTGGTGTTACATACCTTATTTATAACCTCACCTACTAAGTCCCATGATCCTCTAAGTAGCTTTAGCATGCCGACCCGAGAGGTGCCTCGCCCTTGCCGCGCATATGCTCTTCGTATATAGTTTTCTAAGGGTTTAGGCTTCAGGGGTTTGGGGGTTTGGGGTTTAGGGGTTTTGGGGTTTAGGGCTCAGGCGTTTCCGGGCCGAATGTTCATGCGTTTACGCCCTCAGGTGGAAGGCTTAAGGTTGCGGGACTAAAGCTTCTGGGGTTTTCAGGCTAGGGTTCACGGTTTTGGAGTTTCGCGGCTTTGCGAGCGGATAAATTTGACTGGGGATGGTCACAAACCACACAAATATGTAGAAAGTCAAACCTACAATTTGCACATTCGATACCTTTGACTACCCAGAGACTCCAATACCCCTTCATTTATATTCCCTAGATCACATCAAGGATCCTACTATAATTTAAGGTATATTCCTTAATTAAGGGGTATTGGAGTCTCTGGGTACTAGGGGATTCTGCGTCCTTTCGGTCTGGCTTTGGGGTCGCCTCTAAGGCCTTGAAACCCAAAACCTGTCCAGAACCTTTGCAAGAAACGAACGTCTTACGTATACCTTAGAAGGGGCCCCCACCCTGTAATAGTGACCATAAGGATTATATAGGATTATATTAGGGCCCTATTATATTCCTATTATACCACTATTACAGGGTGGGGGCAGATTCTAACGTATACCCTACAAACTTCAGCCCTGCACTTGGATAGCTTTCGATTGCCGGCCCGCGATTTCACCTAGTCCTTGCCGAAAATGTGTTGTTGAACAGGTTTGGGCTCAGCCGTTTACGGCCCGAATGTTCATGCCTTTATGCCACAGGTGTAGTACTGTAGAGTCAAGGTTCCGGGATTCGGGGTTGCCGAGCTTCAGCTGGGGTGCACACTGATTTGAAAGGATTTGGAGTTTCATCGCTTTACACGCTGAGACATTGGACTGGCGATGGTTCCAGACCTCAAGCGTATGTAAAAGTCGCACAAACAAGTTGCACATCCGATACCTTCGACTGCTAAGGTATTCTTTGTCGGAACCCCTGAAAACCTCGCGTTCCTTACATGGGCCTGGTTTTGGGGCCGCCTCTAAGGCCGCGAACCCCAAAACCAATATGGAGCCTTACAAGAACTACGTCTTACCTGTACCGTACAGAACTATGTTGTACCCAAACACGGGAACCCGAACCGTAAGCCGTAGGCCTAATTGCAGGCTAGGCCCAAAACATCCCAAAGGCCAGACCCTAAAAGCTGACTCGAAATCCCGGGATCCTGCGTAGTAGAATACTGAGGGAAACCTTAGAGAAAACCTGTACAAATCCAATACGGATGCTCTTTTTCTAAAACAGTTCCAGAAACCCCTGAAAAATCTGACGGAAACCGTGCATTCAACAAACCTTATCAAAGAAACAAACTTTATAAGACCCCAGATGTCCGAAGCATCTGCAAAACCCAGACCCTAAACATCCTGAGTAGTAGTAGTAGTAGTAGTAGTAGTAGTAGTAGTAGTAGTAGTAGTAGTAGTAGTAGTAGTAGTAGTAGTAGTAGTAGTAGTAGTAGTAGTAGTAGTAGTAGTAGTAGTAGTAGTAGTAGTAGTAGTAGTAGTAGCAGTAGCAGCAGCAGTAGTAGCAGTAGTAGCAGTAGCAGTAGCAGTAGCAGTAGCAGTAGCAGTAGCAGTAGCAGCAGCAGTAGCAGTAGCAGTAGCAGTAGCAGTAGCAGTAGCAGTAGCAGTAGCAGTAGCAGTAGCAGTAGCAGTAGTCGTCGTCGTAGTCGTCGCCGTCGTTGTCGTCGTCGTCGTGGTGTGTAGTAGTAGCCGTCGACGTCGTCGTGGAGTGTAGTAGTAGTAGTCGTAGTAGTAGTAGTAGTAGTAGTAGTAGTAGTAGTAGTAGTAGTAGTAGTAGTAGTAGTAGTGGTAGTAGTAGTAGTAGTAGTAGTGGTAGTAGTAGTAGTAGTAGTAGTAGTAGTAGTAGTAGTAGTAGTGGTAGTGATAGCAGTAGTAGTAGTAGTAGTAGCAGTAGCAGCAGTAGTAGTAGTAGCAGCAGCAGGAGTAGTATTGAATACGTGAAAAATAAAATACGTAGAACAACCATTTCAAGTTCTGAGTAGTAATCAAACAATACGTTCGGAAAATGTCAAGATCCTTCGTCTCCGATGCGATTGTCCGCCAAGCCAATGGCCTTCCACTTGGAACTTGGAAGGAATCCGGCGATGACCTTTTCGGCTCAGGGTTGGACGTTTAGGGCTTAGGGTGTCTGCAAAGTTTGCGCGGTGGGTGCGCTTCTGTAGGAATGGGTGCACACTCACTTGTCGTGCGATTGCGTCAGCATGCAATGTAGCCCCGCAAACAACCCCGACTATTCTCAATCAGGGTTTGATTAAGATTCATCTCACAAAACCCCCCTCAGGGAGGGCTTTCTTGCTCTCTGCTTCCCTTCGCCGTTCCACAAAAACAACCACATTTCACAACAAACCACAGCTGAGATGGATTCGTGCTGTCGGGTTGTGGGTCTTCGCTGCATGTGACAGCCGCTCGACGAGAAGCAAAGGTTTCTAACAAACAACGCCCAACTCCCCGCCCAGTGAGGGTCCGTCGAAGTGTAAAGAAATAGTGGGTAGTTGTCAAAATTAGGGTCCCTTTTGGGTACCCTAAATATTAGGTGCCGTACTATATTAGGGACCCAAAAAGGGAGCATAATTTTGACAACCACCCACATCTACCCTGAGAGGTTGGGGCCGGTCTTGCACATCGAGGTTTTCGGGCCTGGCGGCATCGTCACTACAGTCCCGTTCTGACCGTTCTGATGAAACTCGGCTGGGGGCCTCCGCTGGAGCCTCGAAAGCCCATGTACATGGTCAAAAGCGGCGTCGGCGGTTTAGGGTTTAGAGTTTAGGAGCGGGGGGAGAGCTGGTTTTTTACAAAGCTTAAAGACGGGTTCTATAATTTGGTGGTTGGGGTAGGTCTTTCCCGACTATAAGGGTTCTACACGAGCTCTGTATGCTAAGAGTTCTACAGGGTCTATAATCTGAAAGTTCTAGACAGGCTTCTCTAATGTCCGCGACGTTGATGGTGCATAGTTCAGGGTCTTTGGGTCAAGATGTTGCCGGAGTCAAGGGTTTAGATTTCAGGGTTGGGCTGTTTACCGGGGTTTCGGGCTTTGTTTTGAAAGTTTTGCGTCTAGAGTCTAGGGTTCGGGGTCGCTCAAACCGAACCCTTCCTGAGCTGGCACCTTGGCTTCTGCGTCTCCGATCTCAGCGTTGCGCATGTATACCTTCGGCCGTCTCTGCTTTCCCGAAAAACAATACAAAAGGCATCAAATCTTTCGACGGTTCAAGAAATAAAAAAAGTTCGTCCTACTCCTCACCGAGAGTGCATGCTTCAGGGATCCGCTAAACGAAAGATTTCGAATGAATCCCTCCACATTGGCGGCACACCGCTCCAGCTTCAGCGTGTGTACGTTCGGGAAGAAGTACACAGCCTCTCCAAGAATCTCCACCTCGTTGGCCGGCAGATCCCAGAACCCGAGCGTGTGACACTGTCGCGCCTTGTTGTCGAATGCCGTCTGCTGTGCTTCGATCAGAGGCGCGAAATCGGACCTATGCGTGAACTTGATCTCCTTCTTCGCCAATTCACTGCGAAACTTGTAGGGTGCCATCGGGGACCGGCGCGCCCACAAATGTTGGTTTGGCAAGGCGCTGCTGGGATGGAGCGGGTTCCGATATAACTCTGAAGCTCGAAGACTTGACCATTGCAATTCTGCCAAACACCAACCACGTAGTTCATAGTCTGTCGTGTTTGGCACCAAGCTGGTGATTGGCCTGTCCTGCACTTCATCCTCGTCTGGACAATAAACGGGGATGCTGCCAGCACTGCCGTTTTTGTGGGACTCCGGTGTCTGATCTATTACGCATAGTGTCTGAGTCCACTCGTGCGCATACAGCAAAGACATGTTCTTCATCGCCGCTCTGAAACTCTCCTCCTCGTGCCGTCTCTTGCGCTTGAACTGGTAGAGGCAGGTGTAGTCAATGAACACACCCAAGATCTCGTGGGACCATTCCTTGGTTGTCGTCGAAAGCCGACCGTTAATCGCTCATGTAAATTCTATCTTGACGGCCTCTTCAAGAAGAGCGAGCAACAACTTTGAGACAACACGAGAGACAGAGAAAGACGCAACAATACACGGCAAAAAACGAACTGTTCCCTGGCAGGATGGGCACCGGCGTTGTCTCGCCCCCGCAAAGTGAGTTCACACGCAAGAACATGCCACACTCCACACAAGGCATAGGCGAGCATGGCAGGGCAAGCGCAGAGAACAGGAAGGCACCCAAGGAATCCCATCTTTCACACACCTAGGGTTTGGTCGTGTGACTTGATCGAGAGCACTGAAGGGTGAAGAAGGGAATGGCTGAATACGTGCAGGAAAAACCAGTCTAAGTGTGGGGCCGGGCCACAGCCCGGGCCCTGTCGCCCTACGTAGCTCGACCAGAGAGGGAAGGGTGCTGGTGGAGCAAATGCTTTTAGGGCGGCCCCTGTAGGCCCTTCGGGCCCTGCCTCAAGAGAACAAAACTGCTTCATTTCACTTCACAGTGCCCAGCAAGCTTCCCGCTGCAACTTCTGCAAAGATCTCACGATGGTCTCCAGCTGGTAGCCCCAAGGATCAGGATGTTCTCGCGTCTCCCAGCAGTGGCTGACCTTTTGAAAATGCTAGGCAAAGTGCTGGGGTCCATGTTGAACTGAAGAGAGCTTGGATCTTGGGTACTTTGTCAGACTTGCAATGCAAAGGGTATGACATGCAGTGTGAACAATTCACGCAGCGTATTCTTCAGCTTTAGCTTAGCACATGTTTGCTTTTCAGCAGGAGGTGCGACAATGATCGGGCTTGCCATGTGCAAACTGAAGGTTCGACGCATCTTCGCGGCCCAAGCCTTGGCTAACCGTCGGAATCAAGACACTGTGGCTTTGGAGTTCAAGCCTTAGGGTTTGGACTTCAGCATTCGCCTACAGGAGCTGTTGCCGCAATCCGCACACTTCGGCAAAGAGGCTAGCATTTCAGCATGGGAAACCAGAGCTGTCTGACCCGTAGACTTCACAGTGGCATGCTCCGCTTCTTGCCTGCGAGGCAGCGCGTGCCCTGCCTCTACCAACTCCTGCAGATACTCCAACCGCACCAGTCGAACGTCTGCATGTAGAAGAGAGCCGGCCAGGTACAGGGGATCAGAGAGTGAGCAGAACTGCTCCCATCTCTCGTGCCGATTCAGGGCACGTGAAAGCCAACCAACATCAAAGCAAACCATCACCAAGAAGCCCAAAAGCACGTGAGTTCCAATCCACTGCAGTACCACTTCCGCGAAGTCAGTGCCCTCCGCCAGCATCCTCCCCCAGGACAGTGCACTTGGCACCGAGACCCCCAGTAGAACCGAGTACAGCATCAAAGAACCAACTCTTTCAAAAAATGGACGTGACCCAAATTCCTGCTGCCGGTCGACCGCAAGAAGAAATATGAAAGATCGGCAAACCATTCTGCAGCCCACCTGCTTACAGCTCCATCGCGACCGCCTAGATGTAGTCAGACAGCAGAGACGGCCACCGCAGAAACAGACTAGCATCAAGGTCACGGATGGTAGCAAGAGTAGAAAGTGTAATGTCTGATCGAGTGAGTCGTTGACAAGCCCGTGCTCTTCCTCTGCCGAATTAAGAACAGCTTCATGGGAGCAAGAGATTAGAAGTCTGCGCAAAATGCAGCCAGGCCTCTTGCAACGACACCGCATTCCCGGGCACTTGCCACGACACCGTGTTCATGTCCAAGCTCCACAAGTCACTGAGATATTGGTCGCCGTCCCAGTCATAGCCTTCACGCGAGGGCTACGAAAACCTCAAACAGAAACGCGGAGCATGCTTCCGCATATAAGTTACTAAGAACCTATTCTGCTTCAGGGCAGGAGGGGCTGTGCGCTGTGGCGTCAGGAACAGAGGGGAAAAGAATGAGCAACGGCTGTCAAACTGGCGCTTTGAAAAGGACCCGCGAAGTGCCAGGGTTTCCAGCTGCGGGTACTCCGAGGTGAAACTACGGTAACAAATACCCTCTTCTGTGGATCGATAAGTGCTTGTCTTAAGTATACTTAACTACTGCACGACCCTACGTATGAAAAACTGCACATGGACGAGTCGAAAGGGCGACTTGATGTTCGATGACGAAGCAACAAACACCTTTGCGGCTGCAGCTCATACACACATCTTTGGCTTGTGGGCCTCCATGAATCCATAGTTTCCCGGCCGCATACACAGCAGCATGACTTATTCGTTTAGGCGGTCTGGCGCCGCTGCTTCTCCTCAGCTGTTGTTATGTAAACAACACATATTTCAAGAAAATGCATCTTCTCTAGTGTACAGATGCAACTGCCCCTTGCACGGCAGATTGAATTTGCAAGTACCAGTTGAGTCTGGTCTCAGAGCCCAACTTCCAGATTCAGGATTGTAGGACCAGACATCGTCGAAAATAGCCTCGCTGCCACCCCAGCCGCCGTGAATCCAGATCAGTCCTCCAGAAGAAGCAACACCGTGGTAAGATCGACTTGCAGGTCCCTCAGAACTGTTCATCAGGCTCCACTGCCCACCAGAAATATGAAAGGACCACAAATCGTTAAGCTGTCCTGCATCTGATCCTCCCCAGCCACCATGGACCCAAATCACTCCCTCAGCATATACTGCGACATGGTCCACGCGTGGAGATGGTCCCTCGCCTTTACTTTGGAAAGTCCAGTTGCCGGTTTCGACGTCGTAGCTCCACAGCTCATCGAGCAGTGATGTACCCAAATCCGTCATTCCGTTTCCGCCATGAAGCCAAAGGCTACCAAAAGCATATACCGCCACGTGTCCATAACGTGCCGAGGGTCCTGCAAGATTGCTTATCAGATTCCAGCGCTTAACAGAAACGTTGTAGGCCCACAGGTCATTGAGTCGTCCTGCAGATGCTCCTCCCCAGCCTCCGTGGATCCAAACCACTCCTGCAGCATGCACTGCCACGTGGTCGTCACGTGGAGGGGGCCCTGTGCCTTGACTTTGAAAAGTCCAGTTGCCAGTATCGATGTCATAGCTCCACAATTCGTCTACCAGCGATCTACCCAAATCTGTCGATGCCTTGCCACCGAAAAACCACAGCACGTCGCCATTGTCGGAAGCAGCGCCTGCGTGATCTCGCCGGGCTGACGGAACAGCAGCAACTGTGGCCACCAGCAAATAGACCTGCAGCATGGCCCCAAAACCCAAACTACACTCTGAAGCCTCAACTAAACCCTAAACCCCTAAGCCCTAACCCCCAAACCAAACCCTAAACCGCAAACCCCTAAGCCCTAAACCCCAAACCCCTCAGCCCTAAACCCCAAACCAAACCCTAAAGCCTAAACCCCAAAGCAAAGCATGGCACGTAGCTCACATAACTATCGTATAATGGGCCCAAAACCCTATTCTGATTATTAAGGCCCCTTTCGTAAACCCTAAGCAAAGCATGGCGCGTAGCTCATATAAATATAGTGTAGCGGGCCCCGAAACCCTATTCCAATGTATTGGGGCCCCTCTAGTACTTGGAGGGTCGGGGGACTTAGTAACTGGTTATTTTCGGGACTTATAAGTACCATAACCCCAATTAGGGTCCCGATTAGGGTACTTATAAGTCTACTTACTACCTACTTACTAGGTCCCCCGATCCTCCAAGTAGACCCTAAAGCAAAGCATGGCACGCAGCAAGGCCAAGCCATGGTGTGGCTCCCTTGTGCAGCGCTCGCGCCACAGCGCTACGGGGCCCAAGGCTGCTTGGAGGTAGGGTTCCTTAAAGGGATCTATAGGCTTCCTGAAAGGGACCTATAGGGTTGTCGTTTTGTAGGGTTTCTACCAGGGTAGTATGAGGATCCTATAGAGGTTACAGGGTAGGGGACTTAGTAAGGAAGCCTAACTGTTCCTTAACTGGGAGTCTAAGTGAATATAAATATAGTTACCCCATTATCCTGGTTTCTAAGTTCTATGAACTTTTTGAGTATGATATGAACCGACTGTCATGCCTGAACGTGCAGGCCTACTTGGTGTCCCTTCTGATACTTTTGTACTCTTGGCATCAAGCTCTTGTGATGCTGGGTGCTGAGCGGAAGGCCTGCATAGGGTTTGAGGTTTCGGGTTGAGGGCATATAAACCTTAAAGCCTAAACCGACTGTTGAGCTTCTTGCACTGCCGAGCCGAGGAAAGACTCTCTGGCGCAGTCAGTCAAGACACTTGTTTCTGAAACAAATCTCCTGGGTCTTAACGCGAAGGGAGGTCGGGGGTTCTACCCTCGGGGCCCTCCAAAAATCTTTCTTGGAGGATTGGCTGAGGGCTTAACGCCGCGGCCGGGGCTTCAAACTTCCAAAGCCCTTAAACCCGTAACCCGAAACCCGGTGACCCGGAACCATAAACTCCGCGAGCCTCAACCCCTAAACCCTCAGCCCTCAACCCTCAACCCCTCAAGGCTTCTGGCTCTGTGGCCTTGGGTCCAGGATTTGGGCTTTGGCCTTCGGGCTTTGCATCTCAGGCAGTCGGACTTGGGGCTTCGGACTTCAGTTCGGAGTTTCGGAGTTTAAGGGAATTTCGGGCTTAGGGGTTAGGGTTCGAGTGTATCGGGTTAGGGGTTTAGGATTTATAGGGTTTAGGGTTTAGGGGTTAGGGTTCAAGGGTGTAGGGTTAGGGGTTTAGGGTTTGGGGGTTTAGGGATTCAGGATTTAGGGTTCAAACATAGAAACATGCTCGACTTTCGACACTGCTGGCCCACCAGCGACACTTTGCAAGCCGCTGGATACATGGGTCTACGGAAGATCGGTTCCGTATCAGTGCTGAGTTGCTCTCTGAGGTTAGACTGCTGGGGATTTTCACAAGTCTGCCTCGAGAACAGCGCGTGAAAGCGGTATAAAGCGGTACTACAGAGGCCCAGCATGGGAACAGAGGACGCGAACACAAACAAGGCTCAATGGCGCTTGCGTTTTCGGAATCATGTTAGTTTGTGTCACGCTTACGGGCGTCGCCCGCTCGGCTGTTTTCAACAGTCAGGAGCATCAACGATGCCAAAAGCGGTTGCCACTTGGAGGATCTTAAGGACTGCAGTTTCCGTACCATGAAGTCGGGTGCTCGTCGCTTAAAGCCTACAGCTTGCTACCAGTGAGCGCATCAAAGTCCCGTGATCCTGCAAGCACACCAGCGAGGGCAGGGGTAGACAGTCAGGGTGAGGTTGATAATTCGCGGCAGGAGGGCATCTTAAGCCCAAAAACCCTCAACTCGGGGTTGGGAGCAGGGTAGCTCGATTCAGAAAGTGGCAGCTGATTGTCGTAGACGTCTGCATTCACGATGGGGGGGATGGATTTCATTCCAAAGCTACGGAGCATGCGATGTACGTGTGTGTGTGTATATACATACATACATACATATATATATATATGTATGTATGTATGTATGTATGCATACAAAGCATTATATACATATGTATACATATAATATATATATATATATATATATATGTATATATATATATATATATATATGTTTGCTTAGCTACTGTTTATACATGCGTGCATAGTACACCGTCGTATAGCAGCGCGATCCTACAAATCTCTCGAAGGTCCTCAAGCAAGGCGGGTGCTTCAAACGAAACCCTAAACCCCAAACCCCAAACCTTAAACCGTAGGTAGGATGTGGGGATCCGATTTGGAGCAAAGGCGTCGCCTCCCTGCCGCTTACGAGCACCACTTGCCCTGAGGTGTTTCAAGCGGTGCAGTCCTACGTCTGAGGTCACCAGCACGACTTGGCCGAGGGCCCGGGATCGGAAACCAAGGGGTCCTCAACCCTTTTGTGGGGTTTAGAGGCCTAAACCCTAAACCCTAAACCCTAAAACCCTAAACCCTAAACCCTAAAGGCTTAGGGATTTACGGATTTGGGGATTTAGGATGCAACACAAGAGAAGCTGGAGCAGCTTTGTCCAGCAACATCTCTTCGAGACGCAAAGCGTGTGAGACTTGTAGCAGGCATTTGAAGGCAGAAGCCCAGAGAGCCCACTATGCCTTTCCTGATTATGAGGATCCCAGGATTTTCCGAAAACTCGAGGATCTTCATCCCAAGCCCTGAACCCCTAAGACTAAGAGGGCTGCGTTTTCAGGCTCTTGTGGTTTGGGGCGTATGGGTTTAGGACACCGAAAGCCCTAGATCCAAAACCCTGAACTCTAAACCCTAAACTCTAACCCTAAACCCTAAACCGTCGAAGCAGCGACAAGGCTGACGAGTGAATGAGAACAGGCCCAAAACAGCACCCTTGTTTCAGGACAAAGGCCCCAGCAATTACTGAGCCCATGTAGCCCGACAAAGCACGCTACGTCGAAAGCCCGAGATTTCCCTAAACCCTAGACCCCAAACCCTAAACCCTAAAGCCGACCCTAAGCCGTAGACCCTACAGATAAGAAGATGTTTAGCAGCGGCGGATCAGCGATGCAACCAGGAGGTTCCTTGAGGCTTCCGTCTGTATGGGTAGTTCCCTAAACGTCTAAATAAGGATCCCTTTGCAGGTTCTTTGTATAAGGGTGCCGGACGGTTTGGGGGACCTACAATCTGTTTTGGGCACCTAAAAGGCACCGGTGTTTCAGGCTTGCACAGTTTCTGAAACAGAATCTGAGGCGGCTATCCGAGGTTTTGCGAACAGTTCTCAATGGCATCCACAACAAGAGGATGGAAACACTGTCTTCGCTGAAGTCGCACGTGATCCGGGGGGCTTCTGTCGCTTTTCGGGGTGGTAGGACTTCGGGTAGCATGATACAGGATGTTGCGGATTCCGGTGTTTGACTCCGAGGTCTGCTTAGGGCTGAGGGCTCGGAGCTTCTAGGTTGGAGTTTGGGGTGTTGCGCGCGGTCTCGAACCACGATCGACCTCAAAACCCCCAAATAAGACCCAAGACCCTCACAGACCTCAAGAAGCTTAAGACAAACCTCTAAATCCCCCAAAGCCCCTTTAGCGTACATGATGCTTATGTGGAAACCTTCAAGGATCCCCTTAGGGTTGAAGGCTAATGTAGGAACCTGATTGAGAGACTCCAAAATAGTAGGATTCATATGAGGAACCCCAATGAACGGCCCAAGGTTTCTTAATCAAGTTCCTACATTATATCAATTATTAGGCTCCTATATTATAGAAGCCTACTATAGATCCCTTTAAAGGAACCCTGTAAGGATCCCTATAAAAGAACCCCTATTCGTTCATACGTTAGCTTGTAAGGATCCCTTCAGATCCTACCGAAAGCGACCAGTAACCCTAAACCCTTAAACCCTAAACCCTAAACTCTAAACCCCAACCCCTAAACCCCAAAAGCCCTCAGCTCCCTTTTGGGGGTCCCTAGATCCTAAACCCCTAAACCCTAAACCCTTTTTGGGGGACCCTAGACCAGGGCTCCGGATCTGCTGGGGAAACATCCGCGGTGGCCCGGAGGCCATCGCTTTTCGTCTCTGGAGCCTTGTTGCTTTAGGGTTCTTTTAAAGGGATCCTTACAGGGTTCCTTTAAAGGGATCTATAGTAGGCTTCTATAATATAGGAGCCTAATAGTTAATATAATGTAGGTTTGGGCTTTTTTTTGAACTCGTTTTTGCGTCTGCCTGAACCTCACAAGCAAGCACAAGGCTAGGGTTGAGGGTGTAGGGTTTGGGGTTTAGGGTTGAGGGTTTATAGAAATTGTATAGGGTTTGGGTCCGGGAAGTTTTGACCGAAAGTTTTGGGCGGGTTTTGCTTTTTGCTTTTCAATTTTGATTCTGGTGGGCTTGGGCTGGGTTTAGGGTTGAGGGTTTGGGGTTTCAGGGTTTAGGGTTGAGGCTTTGGCGCATTCAGGGTTTGGTGGGAATAATAGGGTGCTCCTGCAGGAAGTATACTGGCCCAAAGGTGCTAAATCCCTTTCTTGGTGGCACAAAACTGTGTCTGGGCCTATGGTCTTGCAGGTGGCTCCTCCCTTGCTCCAAACGGCAAGCGAAGGCTTTGACATAGGAGGACAAGAAGCGACAAATCCCCCTCACCGATTCTTCCTGAAACGTTCAAAGTTCATCATATATCAGGTAACCGACTCCCTAGCAGATTGTTCCGCCAAGGAGCCGTTTCCTTCCCAATCACCGTAGCCTGAGGAGCATCCACCGCCTGACCATCACTGCCAGAGGCACGACCGATCTTCTGTCCTGGGGCACGAGACGGACAGCAAAGTGCACAATGCTTGTCCCTCCCTTTGCACTGTAGCCTCCAAGATAGGCATGAAACCCTTAAGCCGGGGGATCACGCAGGCAACGAATGCACAATTTGCTACCTGTCTTGGGTCAAAAGCGAAATGCACGGCCAGAGGTTACACCGCCCTTGTACCACCCCTATATCACCGTCATGATCATTGCAAGCAAAAGGCCGCCGATCCTCACTTCCACCACCACCTTCAAGGAAGTGAGCATCGAGTTTAAAATTTAGGGCTTTGGACGTTGAGGCCCAGGGGCTTCGAGCTGAGCTTGGCTTTGGGGTAGCCTCTGGAATTTAGCCTCCTCATGCTCACAGTTTTATGGGTAGCACCTAAACCCGAACCCAAATATATCGGCCTCGAGAAGAATGCAAAGAGGCTGTGCGTACCAAAGTCAGACACGAACGACACGAACAAGGACTGAACAGAGTGCTACAGCATAACTGCATTGGGACTGTGAAGGGGCTGTCTATTGCAGTTTATTCATCAACCTTCTTTTTCGCACTCTGCAAGCCCCTAAACCCTAAACCCTAAACCCCTAAACCCCTAAACCCGAGCACTTAAACCCAAAACTCTTAATCTTGAGCCCCTAAACCCTTCGCCGTAATCGCCTGAGCCCTGACCTGTGAACGCCTAAATCCCCAAACCTCTAAATTCTAAAATGTGGTGTTCTCAGTTGCTGAGTTCACAAGCCCCAGAAAGCATACACTTTCTTTTTTATCGTGTGTAAAACTATGCCAAAACTAGCATGCCCAGTAACCTAGGAATAAAAGGGCTCCCTTTTTGGTACTGGGCAACTTTAGCAGGAACCTAGGACCACAAAAAGGCTGGCATAAGGGTACATCCTAGAGAAAAATGTAACGTGCATCCACTCAGCTACTAAGTTCATTGACCCTTTGCACCGAACCAGAACCACAGGGTTTAGATCCACAGGGCTTGTTCGACAGAGTTGGCTTTTAAAAACTTTTACAGACTTTTAAAAACTTTAAAATGCAAGAAAAAACCTTCTAAAAACTTTTCAAAACTTTAAAAGACTTTTAGAAACTTTAGAAGACTTTTGCAAACTTTAAAAGACTTTTCAAAACTTTAAAAGGCTTTTAAAATATGTAAAAGACTTTTAAAAACTTTAAAAGACATTTAAAAGACTTTAAAAGACTTTAAAAGACTTTTAAAAGACTTTTAAAAGCTTTTAAAAGCTTTTACAAACTTTAAAAGACTTTGAAAGACTTTTAAAGACTTTAAACAACTTTTAAAAGTGTTTAAAAACTTTAAAACACAAAAAAAAGTATCTTTTCTACATTTTTAAGGTTTTTTCCGAGAAGACGAGGATGAAGAAGACCTGGCACAGGGTTTACAGTTTCAGGGTCTTTAGGGTTTGGGGTTAGAAGGCAGAGTGCCATAGTATTAGGGGTTTGAGGGTAATGAGAGGGTTAGGGTTAGAGTTTCAGGGTTTTAGGGTTTAGGGTTACAAGGCAGAGTGCCATGGTATAGGGTTTAAGGGTAATGGCTGAAAGGCAAAGTGCTAAGGTCTTCAATATGAATGGGATTCAGTTTTGGTAGTTATCTTGGAATGATCGTGGCTTGGCTTCGGGCTTTTGGTCGTGCCCACCCCGCTAAACAGCTCCAGGTACTCCCACACCCTCCTACTGTACCACTACTGTACTACTACTGTACAACTACTTTAATACTAGTGTACTACCACTTTACTACTACCCTCTTACAAGTATACTTCTGTACTACTATGGCACCGCTACAGTACTACGACGGTACTACTATTGTACTACTGTACTACTACTGCATTACTACCGTGCTAGTACTTGTACTACTACTGCACGACACACCACTGCACCGCACCAGGCCTCAGACGTGGTCGAGTGGAGGGGAGTGTAGGTTGGAGGCAAAAGTCTTCAGAGTGAAAGGTTTGCAGTTTTGGTAGTTCTCGTGGAGTGACCGTGGGTTGGCTTCGACTGTTGGTCGTCCCCAAACCTCTCTAGACAGATCCAAGTACCCCTAAACCCTCGTACTGCACTGTAACTACTACTGTACGACTGTCGTACTACAGTACTACTATTGTACTACTCTACCCTTTTGTACTACTACTGTACTACTACTGTACCGTACCGGGCCTCAGACGTGGTCGATTGTGGAGGGGAGTGTAGGTTGGAGGCAAAAGTCTACAAAATGAAAGGTTTTTAGTGTTGGTAGTATCTTGGAGTGATCGGGGCTTTTGGTTTCCGGCCTTTGGTGATCCCCCAAAACCGTTAAACAGCTCCAAGTACACTTAAAAACCTCGTACCGTACTACTACTGTACTACTACTGCATTACTACTGTACTATTACATGCATTACTACTGGACTATTACGTTTATTCACCTGCGCATCATCGAGCTTCTTCTTGTATCTCTGCTACCTGTAATGTGGCGGCCGTGTAATAGCCACCCCCCCTCGACCAAAGGTTTTTGGCTTGAATAGTCTGGTGTCCGTGACCCCCTGGACCGGGGTTCGGCTGGCTGAGGGTCTGAATGGCTTTGGTTAAGTTAGAAGGGAAATGGGGGGTCGCAGGGTCGGTTTGAAACCTGCGCGAACGCCGCGGTCGGGGGGTTTGGGGATCACCAAAAACTTGAAACCAAGCCGCGATCACTCCAAGATAACTACCAACACTAAAAACCTTTCATGTTAAAGACTTTTGCCTCCAACCTAAACACCCCCACGATCGACCAAGTTTGAGGCCTGGTACGGTACAGTGGCGTGTAGTACAAAGTACAGTAGTACAGTAGCACAGTAGTACATTGGTGCAATAGTAGTACAGTAGTAGCACAGTACAAGCACAGTAGTGTGTTCATCGACTCAAGCAGGGAGCGCCGCTGTAAACTTTGCTTTGTGTGGGTGCTTTGTCTTTGCTCTTTATATGTTTTGCTGTTTGCTGTCGTATCTGGTATCTATATGTGCTTATAGGGTCATGGCTTTGAGTTTGGCGCGGGGGCGAGGCTGGCCTGGGAGGTGGGCTGATAAGGCGCAAGGGCGAGGGCTGGGGACCGGGCTCGGGACTTCATAATTTTTCAAAAGACTAATTAATATTTAATGAGATTTAGCTAGATGTAGTAAGATTTTATTTGTTTTGTGTTCCTTTCTAACACTGATTAGATTTAATATAATCTCCCTGCAAAGAGACTCTCTATCTATCTATCCAAGAAAAGACGCTTCCACGGGGGGGGTCACTCGGGGGGTCTCCCCCCCGCCCCCCCTGGGGGCCAAAACTACAAAGTTTGGATCAACAGGGCTTAGCAATAAGATTCAATAAGATTTTTCCGGGGCGTGCCACAATTGTACAAATGTCTTCTAAGATTCAATAAGATTCAATAAGATTTTTTGGGGCGGTCTGGAGTCGGTGTCCCTTTTAAACATGATGGACCAATAAGATTCAATAAGATTTAATAAGATTCAATAAGATTCAATAAGATTCAATAAGATTTAATAAGATTTAATAAGATTCAATAAGATTCAATAAGATTTTTCCGGGGCGTGCCACAATTGTACAAATGTCTTCTAAGATTCAATAAGATTCAATAAGATTTTTTGGGGCGGTCTGGAGTCGGTGTCCCTTTTAAACATGATGGACCAATAAGATTCAATAAGATTTAATAAGATTCAATAAGATTCAATAAGATTTAATAAGATTCAATAAGATTTAATAAGATTTTTCCGGGGCGTGCCACAAGTGCCACAAATGTCTTCTAAGATTTTGCCGGGCCGATCTTCCAGAAAAGGCTTCATGATAAAATGCTGCTGGGGCTGGGGCTGGGGCTGCTCGGCTGGCTGCTGGGGCTGGGGCTGCGGGGGCTGCTGGGGCTGGGGCTGCGGGGGCTGCTGGGGCTGGGGCTGTTGGGGCTGGGGCGGTTGGGTGGGGTGGGTGAAGGGAGAAAAGGGTGTAGTCAAGGAGAGAGGCTGGGTGGGGTGGGTGAAGGGAGAAAAGGGTGTAGTCAAGGAGAGAGGGCCCGCCCCACCCGCCAGTCCCCCAGCCCATGCCTGCCTGCTTCCGCACGCCCAGCCTTCCCTGCGAGCCGCGACCGAGCAGAAAGCCTGTAAATACCGCGTTAAAACAACCGCCAGGGATCCCACACATCTGCGGGCAAAATCTGGCGGAAGTGATCCGCCACCGAGCAAAAAGCCTGTAAATACCGCATTAAACAGAGGGCCAGGGATTTCACACATCTGTTGGCAAAATCTGGCTCCAGATTTTGCCAACAGATGTGTGAAATCCCTGGCCCTCTGTTTAATGCGGTATTTACAGGCTTTTTGCTCGGTGGCGGATCACTTCCGCCAGATTTTGCCCGCAGATGTGTGGGATCCCTGGCCGTTGTTTTAACGCGGTATTTACAGGCTTTCCGCTCGGTTGCGGCTCACTTCCGCCAGATTTTGCTAACAGATGCGGTGGTGGGCTGGGGTTGGGGCCTGGGGCCCGCAAGGGGTGTCCCATTAGGTTTTACAGTAGCAGTGCAATAGTAGTACAGAAGTACAGTAGTAAGAGGGTAGTAGTAAAGTGGTAGTACAGTAGGGGTACATTACGAGGGTGTGGGAGTACCTGGAGTTGTTTAGCGGGGTGTGGGCACGACCAAAATCCAAACCACGATCACTCCAAGATAGCACCACTAAAAGCCTTTCATGTTGAAAACTTTTTTCGTCCGGCCTACACTCCTGTACAGCAGTGCATTAGTATTGTAATAGTACAGTAGTAGGACAGTCGTAGAAGAGAAGTACAAAAAAATCAGTCGGCCCAACAAAGAACGCACTAATCATTAAGGCCACATTTTTTGATACAGGCCCGAATAAGCACAGGAAACACGCATCAACTAGTCAGAAGGACCCTCACATTAACCTGTATTAATGGGGTGATGCTATTAGTCAATTTAAGTATTCGCATGCGCTTGGCATGTTGCTACTTGTTTGTGTTTGCTTGGTGACTGTTTTGTGCAAGTTTGTTGTTGTGTGTCTTGGCCCAAAACTTCTTTACACAAAACGAATCACAACGTCGCCTCCTGCTTGGAAGCAAAACAAGATATAGAAAACCTGGCTCAGTCTGGTCACGGATTTAGGAAAAGCAATCCACACTGGGGTGATTGAGCCGGGGACTGGCCATCCCCCCAGCCCCAACACCAGCACAGCCCAATTCCAAGACGCCAAATCGTGGCCCCAGCCAGCCCAGCCCCCCAGCCGACCCCACCCCCCCGCACCCGACCCACCCCCTACTTTCGAGGGACACGCCTTGCGATTTGATGATTTTGCTATGGGGACAGGCACCGGACACCCCTTGCGAGCTGCGAGTTTTTAGACAGCCGTAGGGGGAGCCCTTGCGGTTCATGATTTGGGAACTTATTTTTAATACAAATCTGCGTGATTTGGGGATCTGCGTTTCGTCACTACTAATTACGGTACTACTATTGTACTACTGCATTACTACTGTGCTATTACTTGTACTACTACTGTACGACACACCACTGCACCGCTCGAATCCATGTGGGGAAGGCATTTCAAAAGACACCTTAAACCCTTAGAATCAATCACAACCCCCAACTTAAATTGATAAACAATTTTAAAAACAAACAAAACAAATTTGTAGACGTAGAACAGCAGGAAGCCAGGTTGAACAGCAGGATGCCGTTTATCATTTGACGCAATCACAACCAAAAAATTTTAAATTGATGAAATAATAATTTCAAAAACAAATAAACAACAAATTTGTAGACGTACAACAGCAGGAAACCAAGTAGAACAACAGGAAGCCACTTGACTCAATCACAACCAAATACTTATAATTCACAAAAATATAAACCTTAAAACCAAATAAAGACATTAAAAGACAAATAAAAACGTTAAAATACTTTTAAAAACTTTTGAATACGAAAAAAAACTTTAAAATACAAATAAAATCGTTAAACGACTTTTAAAAACTTTTAAACACAGATAAAGCCAACCACATACAAAAATAAGATTTTGGGTTCCTTTCATATAAGCCTTGTTGATCTAAACCCTGTGGTTCTGGTTCGGCGCAAAGGGTTAAGGATAAGTGTTTCAACACGCCTGCTGGGAGTTCGCAGCCTGCAAGGCAGCAAGCGCCTTGAAAGCAGCAAGCCCGGACTCCCTGATCCAGTTCCCAGTGAGGTCCATCAGGAAGCTCTGAGGCCTCTCAGAGAGATGTGGCTGGTTGTGAAAATGATGGTCCCTTTTTGGGTCCTTATTATAGTACGGCTCCTAATAATTAGGGTGCCCAAAAAGGGGCCATAATTTTGACAACCACCCACGTAGGATTTAAGATTAGGGGTTTACGGATTGGGTTTTAGGATTCAGGGCACTGCTGCAGGTAATGAGCCTCGAAGATGATTTTGGACTTTCAAAAGACCAGCTTCGTGATATGTGGAGTGTCGCACGCTGGCTGCTCTGATGAAGGCCAATCTGGCGATACCTAAATGAGACACAATTCGAACTCAACCCTCGGAACCGAAGGTGAAAGCAGATTCTTTCACCATCAGCATCTGCCTTGTTTGCTGCAGACCTTCCAGGCGCGTGTGGATCGCCTTCACGGCGCCTGCTAGGTGAGCGGCTCCTGTGCAATTGGCTTTAATTTTGTCCCATCGGTACATGAGGTCTAAAAGGGGATCCTGCTACGTACTAGTACCCTGACCCCTCCATTGGTTTTGTTCTACAGCCTATCTGAAGTTGCAAAAACAACATAACAGCACCCGGGTAGCCAGCTTTAGCAAACCGTCCAACGAGCCTAGCTCTTGCCAAAAGTGTTGTTGAACCGGTTCGGGCTCTCGCCTTTGTGGGCCGAATGCGGCTTGAGGTTCCGGGGTTATTGGGTTTACGTCTTGTGTAACGGATGTTGGACGGGCTTGGGGTTTCTTCATTCGTCACTGAGAGGATGCATTGGACTAGGGATGGCCCCAGACCCCGGGAGTAGAAAGTCGAACCTTCAATTTGCAAGTTCGATGCCTTAAATACTACGAAAGGGCACTTTGTAGGCTAGCCTAAACGGAATCTGTTTCCAGATCCTCTTACGGGTCTGGCTAGGGCCACGCTTGACCACTAGTCTGGAAAGGAACGGAAACCCGAAACCCTAAACCCAAAGCCTAGATCACACCCAGAGAGCCCAATACCCCAAAGGGGCCCCTTAATTAAGGAATATACCTATATATAGGGTTCCTTTAAAAGGGGTCTACAAGGATCTATAGGGATTAGGGTTTCCGATACCCCTTAAATTAAGGAATATAGCTTAAATCATAATATGAAGCCCCTTATAATTTAAGCCAGATTCCTTAATTAAGGGGTATTGGGCTCTCTGGGCAGGCCCCAAACATCCCGAGGCCAAAACCCTCAACCCCGAGTCCCTAGCTTGGGATCCTTCGCAGAATAAACCCCGAGAGCTCTTATCGAAGCCTTGCGCAACCTTTTGAGAACCCTTATAGAGTTAGAAACCCTATAATAACCTGATACAAAAGCTTACGGAAGCCTTCTTTGTTGCAGGAACCTGAAAAGACCTCATAGTGGGAAACAAGCCAGCACAAGCTAGCATACAACCTTATAAGCTCCCCACAAGCGCTGAACATCCAAAACCCCAAGCATCACTGAACTCTGAACCCTGAAACCTAAACTCTAAGCCCTAAACCCTTAAGGGAACCAAACCCTCAAACCTAGCAATCCTTCGTCTCCGATGTGGTTGTCCGCCAACGCGATCGTCTTCCACTTGGAACTTGGAAGGAATTCGGCGATGACCTTCTCAAGGTTTAAAAAAACAAGGGGCTTATATACATAACGCTCAAGAGGGGTTAGGTTTAGTCTTTTTCCGCCTATATGCATTTTTTCTCGGGGTTTGTACAGACTTCATAAGGTTTAAGTTGAAGGGTCGGCTAAGCAAAGGCGCTATTGGGCTCTATGCTTTTTGAAAATTCTAGAAACGCGGGGCGTTGATGATCCCTGGTTCAGGTTTTTGAGTCAAGATGTTTTGGCAGGGTTTAAAGCTTTGCAGGGGTTCTAGAGATTAGGGGCCTGGGCCGTTTAGGTTTAGGTTTTAGGGTTCAGGCCTTTTGAGCACCCTTTTCGAATCGCAACATCCTTGTCACAGCTTCGAGGACCTGTATGATCAGGCAACCATACAGTAGAAGCCAGAAAGTTGGAATATGATTATCCTAAACCCTTTATGGTAAATTATAGGGTATCCTACCCTGAAACCATATTCCAACTTTCTGGAGTTCCCTGTAAGCTTTGGGGTTTTGGCGTTTAGGGTTCAGGGCCCAGTTGGAGGTCCAGTCTAAGGTTCAGGGTCCCTCAATTCGCAACCTTCCCGACCGCTCGCTGAGCAGGGACCTTGGCTTCTGCGTCTCCGATCTCAGCGCTCCGCATGAATACCTTGGGACTTATGTGTTTAGGGTTTAGGGTTTAGGGTTTCGGACGTATATGTTCTTCCAGAAAACAGTACAAAAGGCAATATGCATGCATCACCTCTTTCGATGGGTCAAGAAGTAAAACCTTCTTCATACTATTCACCAAGAATGCATGCTCCAGGGAGGTGCTGAACGAAAGATTTCGAATGAATCCCTCCACATTGGCAGGACACCGCTCCAGAATCAGAGTCTGTACGTGCGGGAAGAAGTACACAGCCTCTCCAAGAATCTCCACCTCACCGGCCGGCAGATCCCAGAATCCGAGTCTGTCACACTGGCGTGCCTTGTCGTCGAACGCTGCCTGCTGTGCTGCGATCAGAGGCGTGAAATCGGACCTGTGTGTGAACTTGATCTCTCTCTTCGCCAACTCACTGCGAAACTTGTAGGGTGCCATTGGAGACCGGCGTGCCCACAAATGTTGGTTTGGCAAGGCGCTGCTGGGATGGAGCGGGTTCCGATATACTTCTGAAGCTCGAAGACTGGACCATTGCAATTCTGCCAAACACCACCCACGTAGTTCGTAGTCTGTCGTGTTTGGCACCAAGCTGGTGATTGGCCTGTCCTGCAATTCATCCTCGTCTGGACAATAAACAGAGATTCTGCCAGCGCTGCTGCTTTTGTAGGACTCCGGCGTCTGATCTATTACGCATAGTGTCTGAGTCCACTCGTGCGCATATAGCACAGACATATTCTCCATCGCTGCTCTGAAACTCTCCTCCTCGTGCCGTCTCTTGCGCTTGAACTGGTAAAGGCAGGTATAGTCAATGAACACACCCAAGATCTCGTGAAACTCATCCTTGGCTGTCGCCGCAAGCCGCCCTTTCATCAGACCGCGTGTTCAAGAACGGCCCACAAAAAACCATGAGACAACACGAGAAACAGAGAGAGACGAACAATATAGAATATGATGCTATTGCCCGGCAAAAGGATGGGCACTAGCATTGTCTCGCTCCCGCAGAGTGAGTTCACAAGCAACGCAGGCCTCACATGCCACACCCCCGCCCCGACCCCGAGACACGGCACAGGCAAGCATGCAGGGCAAGTGCAGAGAACAGGAAGGCAAAAAGAAACCCCATGCAAGCATTGAAATTTACACACCTGGGTCCCATTGGCACTTTCGCCCTTCGTAGCTCGACCGGGTGCTCATGGAGCAAATGCTCTTAGTGCGGGCCCTTGAGACCTTGGGGGCCTGTCTCAGGCAAACAAAACTACTCCCCAGTGTCCAGCAAGCTTCCTGCTGCAACTTCTGCAAAGATCTCACGATGGTCTCCAGCTGGTAGCCCCAAGGATCAGGATGTTCTCGGGTCTCCCAGCAGTGGCTGACCTTGCGAACAGGCCAGGTGAAGTGCTGGGGTCCATGTTGAACTGAAGGGTGCCAGGGTCTAGGGTACTTTGTCAGACTTGCTATGCAAAGGGCGCTACATGCAGTGTGAACAGTTCACACAACTTATTCTTCGGATTTACGGATAGCAAATGTTTGCTTTTCAGGAGGAGCTGCGACAATGATAGGGCTTGCCATCTGGCCACTGCGAGTTCCACGCATCTTCGCGGCCCAAGCCTTGGCTGACTGTTGGAATCAAGACCCAGCACCGCAGCTTTGGAGTTCAAGCCTCAGGGCTTGGACTTCAGCGTTCGCCTACAGTAGCTGTTGCCCCTCCCCGAACATTTCAGCAAAGAGGCTAGCATCTCAGCATGGGAGACCACAGCTGTCTGCCCCGTAGACTTCACGCTTGCATGCTCCGCTTCTTGCCTGCGAGGCAGCGCGTGCCCTTCTTGTAGCAACTCCTGCAGATACTCCAACCGCACCAGCCGAATGTCTGCATTCAGAAGAAAGCCGGTCAGGTACACGGGATCAGACAACGAGGACTCGCGCCATCTTGCTTTGTATCGTTCCAAGGCACGGACGCGCGGCTGATCAAAGCACAGAAACAGAAAGCTGAAACATACTACGTTTAGTGCTATAGTGATCGGTACCAGTTCCCACAAGTACATCGCACTTGGCACCAAGACCCCAGCCAGGATCGACAGACACAAGGAGGCAAGGGGTCGAGCAATCCATCCACAAACCTCCTGCTCCGCGGTGTCTAAGGTAGCAAGAAGTGCGAAAAAGCGCAAAACCGCTCTGCAGCCCACCTGCTTACAGCTCCATCGCATCCGCCTGGATCTCGCCAGACAGCAGAGCCGACCACCGCAATGACAGACTAGAAAGGTGAGCAAGTTCAGTGACAGCATGATCAGCCCGACTGAGGGGTCGAATTGCCCATGTTCCTCCGCCGAATAAGAACAGCTTCACGCGAGAGCAGGATGAAAAGTCTGCTGAAAATGCAGCCAGGGCTCTTGCCGCCAAGAGACCGTGCTCAGGTCCAAGCACCACAAGTCACCGAAATGCGGGTTGTGGCCCGAGCGAGGACTGGAACCTCAAATAAAAACCGGAGCAAACTTACATAGAATTAGCTGAGAACCTATTCTGGTTCACCCCATTTGGAACCTTGCTAGGAGCAGCGGTGTGCCGCGGCATCCGTAACACAGGGAAAAGGGATGAGCAAAGGCTGCTGTGGACTTCCAAAACTGAAAAGTCTAGGGTAACAAACACCATCTTAGGTGTTCTCATTTTCGACTTGCGGGCCTCCATGAATCCATAGTTTCCCCGCCGCATGCACAGCAGCATAACTTACTCGATCAGGCGGTCCAGTGCCTTTGCTTCTCCTCGGCTGTCGTTCTATGAAGACTGCATATTACGTACAAGAACGAGCATCTTCTCTGACTGTACAGATACAAGACTGCTCTTTGACGACAGTCGCAGGAGGAAGAACACAAAGCTCTGGAAAGCAGGATGAACTTGAAAGTACAGTTTAGTTAAGCCTGGTCTCAGAGCCCAAAGTCCAGATTCAGGATCGTAGGACCAGACGTCGTCGAACATGCCAGCTGCGTCGCCTCCCCAGCCGCCCTGAATGAAGATCAGCCCTCCAGCGGAAGCAACAGCATGGTGATACCGACTCGGAGGTCTTTCGGCAGTGTTCATCAGGTTCCACTGCCCGCCAGAAATTTGAAAGGACCACAAATCGTTAAGCTGTCCTGCATCTGATCCTCCCCAGCCACCATGGACCCAAATCACTCCCTCAGCATATACTGCGACATGGTCCATGCGTGGAGAGGGTCCCGTTCCTTCACTTTGTAAACTCCAGTTGCCAGTATCAATGTTATAGCTCCACAGGTCATCCAGTAGCGACGTACCACCCAGATCTGTTCTGCCAAATCCGCCATGAAGCCAAAGTCTACCGGAAGCATACACGGCAACGTGGCGATTACGTGCCCAGGGTCCTGCAAGATTGTTCATCAGATCCCAGCGCCCAGCGGATATATTGTAGGACCAAAGGTCATCGAGCTGTCCTGCAGGTGATCCTGCCCAGCCACCATGGATCCAAATCGCTCCTTCAGCATGCACTGCTACATGCTCCTCACGTGGAGGGGGCCCTGCGCCTTCACTTTGTAAAGTCCAGCGGTCAGTCTCAATGTCATAGCTCCAGAGTTCATCTAGCAGCAAATCCCCCAAATCCGTCGATGCCTTGCCACCGTAAAACCACAGTACGTCGCCAGTGTCAGAAGCAGCGGCTGCGTGATCTCGCCGGGCTGACGGGGCAGCAGCGACTGTGGCCAACAGCAAATAAACCTGCAGCATGGCCCCAAAACCTAAACCAAACCCTAAACCCTAAACTAAAGCCTAAAGCCCCTAAGCCCTAAACTAGGCCCTAAATCCCAAACCAAACCCTAAAGCCTAAACCCTAAAGCAGAGCATGGCACGCAGCAAGACCAAGCCATGGTGTGGCTCGATTGAGCAGCGCTCGCGCCACGGGCCCCAAGGCGACTTGGAGGTTCATGGGACTTAGTTAGCATACTAGGGTTTTTATGGGGCTTCTATCAAGGTAGTACGGGGGTTCTAATTCCATACGGGTTACAAGGTAGCGGGCCAAGTCAGTAAGCTAGATGCACCTGTATAATTACACAACTGATTGTTATGCCTGAAGGTGCATGCCCACTCCGTGTCCCTTCGGCGTAGGCGATACTTTTGTACTTTTGGCATCAAGCTCTTGTGATGTTGGGTACAGAATGGAAGGCCTGCATAACATCCGTTTGCTTTGCACATCAGGCTACGGAGCTGAGGAAAGACTCTACGGCACAGTCAGTCATGCAACGCAGTACACTTCCTTCTCAAACACCACATGGGTAGCTGTCAAAATTAGGGCCCCGTTTAGGAACCCCAAACAGGACCATAGTTTTGACAACCACCCATATGCCATAAACCCAACTCTCCTGGAATCCGAGCCAACACGTTAAACTCAAACTCCCCAGTTCTGGCAAATCGACCGCATCCTAAACACACTGTGGGTCTTTATGCGGAAGGAGGTCGGGGCTTTTACGCTATAGGGGTTCCTTTAAGGGTTCAAGGGCTCCTTTAACGGGTTCCTTTAAGGGACCCTATTAAATCTTTCTTGGGGCATTGGGCTTAGGGTTTAATGCTGTGGGCTTGGCGTCAAAGTTCTAAAGCACGCAACCCGTAGCCTTAAACCCCGAGACCCTAAACCAAAAAGACCCTAAACTCCGAGAGCCTTAATCCCTGAACCCTGAACCCCTTAAACCCAAAACCCTCAGCCCTAAACCCTAAACTCCGAGAGCCTTGACCCCTAACCCCTAAACCCCTAAACTCCTGAACCCTAAACCCCTTAAGAATTCTGGTTCTGTGGCCTTAGGTCCAGGATTTGGGCTTTGGGCCTGGCGTCTCAGCCACTCGGACTTCGGGCTTTGGGCTTCGGAGTTTCGGAGTTTAGGGTCTAGGGTTTGGGGTTTAGGGGTTAGGGTTTAGGGTTTAGGGGTTAGGGTTCAAGGGTATAGGGTTTTGGGTTTAGGGGTTTAAGGATTCAGGGTTTAGGGTTCAGGGATGGAGCTTGGGGAATTTCACAGGTCTGCCTCAAGCACAGTGCGTGAAAGCGGTACAACAGAAGCCAAGCATAGGAACAGAAGACAAGCATAGACAGGGCTCATTTTTTCTTACGTTTTTGGACTCATGTCAAGTTGAGTCCCGCTCACGGGCGTCCCCTGCTCGGCTGTCTTCAACAGTCAGGACCATCAACGATGCCAAAAGCGGTTGCCACTTGGAGGATCATTAGGACTGTAATTACCGTAGTATGATGTCGGATGCTTGTAACCTTTGTAACTTAAAGCCTTAAACCTGTTAAGTGCATCGAAGTTTCATGATCCTGCAAGCACACCGCCGAGACCATCACGGCTAGGCCGAATGGAAGGGGTAGACAGCGAGGCGGAGGTTTCTAGTCATTTCTGGAGATCGTCACCCTGTCACAGAATGGACAAAGCCATAACCAGCATCCTAACCACGAAGTCCCAAATTCTCCTAAACCCCTGAAGCCCTAGATAATCCTAAGCCCGAAGCTCATTGACGTACTTGGGGACCCTGGGCATGCTTGCAAACTACAGCTCCACGTCAATTACATCCGATGCTGAGCTCAAAAAGCCTGACCTTAAACCACTAAACCTCCCCTGTATTAGAAGCCAGAAAGTTGGAGCATAATTGCCCTCATACCCTTAAGGTAGGTAAAGTACAGGGGATCCCAGCATTACTCATCCTAAATCCATGTTCCGACTTTCTGGGGTTCACTATAATCTGAAGGCTTAGAAGCAAAAGCCACTAAACCTCTAGACCCTAAACCCTAAACCACTAAGCTCCTAAACCCTTAACCTCCCCTAACCTGAAGGTTTATCATAGGGATCCTTAGGGGTGTAGGGGGGAGGGGTGTAGGGGACTATATTTCCTTAAATAGGCCTTATTAGTCCTTATTATGGGCCTTAAGGCCCCCTACCCCCCCTCCCCCTACACCCCTAAGGATCCCTATGAGTTTAGAAGCAAAAACTGTCTGGCATCGTCCCCCGGTTCTGACGGGTTGTGAGAGGATTTACGGGGTCTTGCCGAGGTGGGGGGACACCGGGGGCGGCACTAAGGCGGCTTTTTGCGCCGATGAGCACCCCCCTCCTCGCCCGTATTCCTCCCGTCAGGGCGACGGTGCCTGGTGTACTCTTTTCCTTTTTTCTCTTCCCAAAGGCGCTTCCACCCCTCCCGGAGGTCTTTCGCTTTCCATGCCTCGTGCAAGGTTTTCGTGCTGCAATCCCAGACCCCCCGTCTCGTTCCGAGATTGGGGGTCTGGCTTGTTGCCTTCTTCCACGCCTCCCGTAGGTCTTTCGCTTTCCATGCCTCGTGCAAGGTTTTCGTGCTGCAATCCCAGACCCCCCGTGGCTTGTTGCCTTCTTCCACGCCTCCCGTAGGTCTTTCGCTTTCCATGCCTCGTGCATGGTTTTCGTGCTGCAATCCCAGACCCCCGTCTCGTTCCGAGATTGGGGGTCTGGCTTGTTGCCTTCTTCCACGCCTCCCGTAGGTCTTTCGCTTTCCATGCCTCGTGCAAGGTTTTCGTGCTGCAATCCCAGACCCCCCGTCTCGTTCCGAGATTGGGGGTCTGGCTTGTTGCCTTCTTCCACGCCTCCCGTAGGTCTTTCGCTTTCCATGCCTCGTGCAAGGTTTTCGTGCTGCAATCCCAGACCCCCCGTCTCGTTCCGAGATTGGGGGTCTGGCTTGTTGCCTTCTTCCACGCCTCCCGTAGGTCTTTCGCTTTCCATGCCTCGTGCAAGGTTTTCGTGCTGCAATCCCAGACCCCCCGTCTCGTTCCGAGATTGGGGGTCTGGCTTGTTGCCTTCTTCCACGCCTCCTAGTGCTGCAATCCGACCCCCCGTCTCGTTCCGAGATTGGGGGTCTGGCTTGTTGCCTTCTTCCACGCCTCCCGTAGGTCTTTCGCCTTCCATGCCTCGTGCAGGTTTTCGTGCTGCAATCCCAGTCCATGCCTCGTGCAAGGTTTTCGTGCTGCAATCCCAGACCCCCCGTCTCGCTCCGAGATTGGGGGTCTGGCTTGTTGCCTTCTTCCACGCCTCCCGTAGGTCTTTCGCTTTCCATGCCTCGTGCAAGGTTTTCGTGCTGCAATCCCAGACCCCCCGTCTCGTTCCGAGATTGGGGGTCTGGCTTGTTGCCTTCTTCCACGCCTCCCGTAGGTCTTTCGCTTTCCATGCCTCGTGCAAGGTTTTCGCGCTGCAATCCCAGACCCCCCGTCTCGTTCCGAGATTGGGGGTCTGGTTTGTTGCCTTCTTCCACGCCTCCCGTAGGTCTTTCGCTTTCCATGCCTAGTGCAAGGTTTTCGTGCTGCAATCCCAGACCCCCCGTCTCGTTCCGAGATTGGGGGTCTGGCTTGTTGCCTTCTTCCACGCCTCCCGTAGGTCTTTCGCTTTCCATGCCTCGTGCAAGGTTTTCGTGCTGCAATCCCAGACCCCCCGTCTCGTTCCGAGATTGGGGGTCTGGCTTGTTGCCTTCTTCCACGCCTCCCGTAGGTCTTTCGCTTTCCATGCCTCGCGCAAGGTTTTCGTGCTGCAATCCCAGACCCCCCGTGGCTTGTTGCCTTCTTCCACGCCTCCCGTAGGTCTTTCGCTTTCCATGCCTCGTGCATGGTTTTCGTGCTGCAATCCCAGACCCCCCGTCTCGTTCCGAGATTGGGGGTCTGGCTTGTTGCCTTCTTCCACGCCTCCCGTAGGTCTTTCGCCTTCCATGCCTCGTGCAGGGTTTTCGTGCTGCAATCCCAAAGCCCTGTCTCGTTCCGAGATTGGGGGTCTGGGCTTGTTGCCTTCGTAGGTCTTTCGCCTTCCATGCCTCGTGCAGGGTTTTCGTGCTGCAATCCCAGACCCCCCGTCTCGCGCCGAGATTGGAGGTCTGGCTTGTTGCCTTCTTCCACGCCTCCCGTAGGTCTTTCGTCTTCCATGCCTCGTGCGGGGTTTTCGTGCTGCAATCCCAGACCCCCCGTCTCGTTCCGAGATTGGGGGTCTGACTTGTTGCCTTCTTCCACGCCTCCCGTAGGTCTTTCGCCTTCCATGCCTCGTGCATGGTTTTTCGTGCTGCAATCCCAGACCCCTGTCTCGCTCCGAGACTGGGGTCTGGCTTGTTGCCTCCTTCCACGCCTCCCGCAGGTCTTTCGCCTTCCATTCCTCGTGCAGGGTTTTCGTGCTGCAATCCCAAAGCCTTGTCTCGTTCCGAGATTGGGGGCCTGGCTTGTTGCCTTCTTCCACGCCTCCCGTAGGTCTTTCGCCTTCCATGCCTCGTGCAGGGTTTTCGTGCTGCAATCCCAGACCCCCCGTCTCGTTCCGAGACCGGGGGTCTCCGCCTCCCGTAGGTCTTTCGCCTTCCAGGCCTCGTGCAGGGTTTTCGTGCTGCAATTCCAGACCCCCCGATTAGGGGTCTGGCTTGTTGCCTTCTTCGACGCCTCCCGTAGGTCTTTCGCCTTCCATGCCTCGTGCAGGGTTTTCGTGCTGCAATCCCAGACCCGTCTCGTTCCAAGATTGGGGGTCTGGCTTGTTGCCTTCTTCCACGCCTCCCGTAGGTCTTTCGCCTTCCATGCCTCGTGCGGGTTTCCGTGCTGCAATCCCAGACCTTCCGTCTCGCTCCGAGATTGGGGGTCTGGCTTGTTGCCTTCTTCCACCCCTGCCGTAGGTCTTTCGCCTTCCATGCCTCGTGCAGGGTTCTTGGCGCAATCCCAGACCCCTCTCGGAGATCGGAGGTCTGGGTTGCTG